TGGGATTTTGTCCGTCCCTTGCGAGGGCACTTCATCATGTTTTCTCACTTGGAATGGCATCTAAAAGAGGCACTTCCTGAGGTTTTTCATCAGAAAGACAACTGTAGGTAACACCATTGAGAGGGCACCTGTATGGCACCACATCACATTTTCTCCACTGCACCCTTTATAGCACTGCATCACATTTTATCCTCTGGAAAGGCACTTCCCCATTAGAGGACCTCTCCATCATGTTTTCTCACCTGTAGAAGGACCATGTACAGCTCTGCATCTCATTTTCTTTGCTGGAAAGGGCAGCCTTTGGGACACTGTCATGTAGGGGTGAATTAGAGGGCACTTCATAACGACACCCTTTTCCATTGGAAGGGCACCCATAGGGAATGTTAAGTTTGAACCATTGTAAGGACTCGTTATAGGACACTGTATTACGTGGAAGGCCACTCAGTAAGACACGTTACCAAATCTTCTTGCTCTAAGGGACACATCATCATGATTTATTGCATAAGGGGCACCCTAGAGGGCATGTCATTTCTCAAATACCCTTATATGATCATTAGAACCAAAGAGATTAAGGAAAAGGAAGCCATCAAATGCAACTTGAATCAGTCCCAGAACACCTGTCTAAACCATTAGAATCCTTTACACTAGAAAACACAAAATTCCATTACAGACTATTGGACTAATTGTTTTTGTGTTTTTTTTTCAGCAGTGTGGTACATGATTAACTTTTACATTGATATTTACACAAGAAATGTCTTGCCACAGCCCAGAAATTGGGTATTGTTACAGGACAGTGCAGTACACCTCAGCATTATGTATGTTGACTATAGGAATGTAGATTGTCTCCTGTAATCATATTTAAATGTTTTTGATATAGAATATTTTTAAGAATATATCTCTTAAATCTAGGAATAACAGTACTTAGGTTTTTGTCTCTCTGTAAGGCTTGTGACATTCCTTGAGAAAGACACGGTGACATGAGATAGGGACTTGTTCAGGCCCATCTCCAATCTGTCCTACCAGACATGGTGACGGTCAATGGTACAGGAGCCAGAGTTGGGTATTTCCATCATTGTATAACTGAGTGAAACATGACCATTTGGGAACCTTCAAGGCCTTTGGCCTGACTGAGAGTGACTCTTAATGACGTCATTGAAATGCGCATGAGGGACCCTCTCTTTGTTAACTAAATCTCACCAATGTCCCTGTGTTCAGTTTTGTTTCTGAACCAATCCAAGCCTGCACTATAGTAGTTATAATCTATAATGACAAACCAGCAGTTGTATATCGTCGCTGTCCAATGAAAAACAAGAATCTCCAAAATATGAACTTTAAAGAAGAGGGCAAAAACACACCTTTCAATGTAAGTCAATGTAAAGAAATTTCGTTCCAAGTGATTTTAGAGCATTCCTATTGGTCCATTCATCATGAAATTTTTACACAACCTAAAGGACAGCTGGTGTGTTGAAATGATGCAGAAAACTAAAAATCAACAAAAATGGAGATAGATGGTTTTCACTGGACAGCGACGATATGTACTATGTCTATTTTACATATAATTTGCATAAAAGGTATAACTGCAAGTGCTCTCATCCACAACAACTTTCCTCTTTCTCTCTACTCTTAGAATTTTAGTCTGCTGATTTCTTTCATTAAGCTTTTTTCTTTACTCTTTTACTTTTGAAATACAATGTGTGGTCTTCTCCTTTCAGTTTTGGGGTATATTGCATCACAAAAATTATGAATAGGTGTTTTTCATAGATTTCTAAATTTTAATCTTAGTTATGCTGTGAAAGAAAGAGTACCAATATGGTGGCAAAGTGGCTTTACGCTTCAGCTATACAGGTCTCCAATATGCATATATATAGGGTTGGTTCAGGTAAAATATTTTAAGTTTAAAATAAAATCTGCAAGAAGTTAGATGTTGAGCACTGCTGCTGTATTGTGATGAACAGTACATGAAGGAAGTGATTACTGTTTCTTGACTGAGGGGTGTTCTGTTAAACCTAATCGCTTGAGGTGGGTACATATAAGCACTGTTTCTGTGGTGCAGTGGCACCGTAAAGCCACAAGGAGGAGATATCATCCTCTTTTCTGAAGGCACAAACGCCATGACACAGGTAGGCACATTAACACAGTCCAAGCACTACAGTTCACATTATACAGTTGTATACCAAAGTTTAGGCACCAATACATTTTATTTTTTAAAACAGTTTTTAAGCAAAAATAAGATACATGTCCACTATAGACAACACACTTTTGCCCATTGAATGCACAATTACTGTTTATTTGCTAAATTTTACATATTAGTAGAAATTAGCTGTAAAATCTGCAGACAAATGCCATATTTAAGTTTCCTGTAAAGGATGTGTTGGCTTATTTTCACTTAATTTGACCAGGCGTTCAAACTTTTGCATACAACTGTATTTATTCACTGTAACATTCAACACATTGTTTTTCTACTACAAAATATTTAGTATATTTTGTATTGCTTAAACTGTAAACTGGAATAAAATCCCAGAAAAAGATTTTGTTTATTTTGTCCTCTCCAAATGAGTATCATTTTATACATTATCTTCTTAGAAACAGCAAAAGAAAAATCACTATTCATGTAGGACTAGCAGAGAGGAGAATTACCACTCTGTAATGTATTCCGCGTTTCTCAAACGCTAGAGGGCGCTCCCGAGCGAGTCCAAAATGAATGGGTTAAGATGGAGCATTCGAGCAAAATCATAGTTTATTAATGCTTAAACAATTTTAATACAAAAGAATACAATTATTTCCTGAACACTGAATAGCATAAAACATTTCTACACTGCTGTTATATTTTTAAGAGCTTTTAAACTAGGAACTTTTAAAGGACTTTTTAAATAGGAGTTTAAAACGGCGCCTCATGTACGTTCATGACGTCTGTGAGATGTGCTGTTTACCAGCTTTCACCAGCATCAAGCTACCATTTATTAGCCTATAAATTCAGAATATTACACACTGAGAGAAAAAACACTTTTATACAATACAAAAAAAGCTCATCCGAGTACTTTAACCTTTCTTTGACGTCAGGCAAAACACGAGAAACGGTCAAAAACTGCACGCAGTAGCCAGAACAACCCGAAAAAAAACCACATTTTTTGCGTTATTTGAGCTTAGTGCTACAAACTATTTATGAGGTTTTTGGCAGATTTTATCCAATATTTATCAAATATGTTTTTGAAACGCTAATTTGACCTGTTTTGAGTATTTTGGTCTCTCCCCGAACGGAGGTTTTTCAGAGGCACTCCAAACAGAGTGCTGTAAGAAAAAACAGAATAACCGGCAAGATGGCTGCGCGAGCGACCAAAGAAACCCACAAATGTGAGAATTTTCTCCGTTAAAAATACGATAACTGTTGTATTATCTTAGTTTAATGTCGTCTCAATGTATTAGGGTCGTTTTCTTCATAACAAGCACAAAAAAATCGCTAATAGCATGCTAATTTCTCAGTAGCTAGCTAACTTTCCCGTTCCACCTTAAATAGTCCGGCAGTATTGATGCCAGAAGCGCCAGATGCAACTGCTGCACCATTTAAGGTGGAACGGGAAAATTCTAACAAGAAGCTAGCGAATAGATGACTTCAGCATCGTGTCACCAAAGAATTTGAGTGGGTGATAATAAATGATTGTCTTATCCCCCTCTTTGAAGGCATTTGATGCGCTAAATGTAACTAAAGCCCAGCGGCGAGGGGCTGAACTTTTCTCTTCTCTGCTATCACTGAAGACGCGCTGGGCTATCACCTGCAGAGCAGCGCTAGTAGGTTGTTAATGAAGCGATGTTTTGCTTTTTTTTGTTGGTTGTTTTTTATTTGAGGGTTGTCCCATTTCGTAGGGCAAGTTTTTAACCAGTTCCAAGGGGTTAGGGTGACACTCGAAAACAAGGGGTAGGGGTAAAAAGAAGAAATGGGATTGGGCTTAAGTAGCTAACATGAACTTGCTAAGTAGTCTAAGTAACTAGTTAACCGCCGAGTACACTTTCCTATAAGGACTTTGACTAGATACTGTCTTTCAATGGTACGAGATTAAGGCCCAATCCCATTTCTTCTTTTTTTTACCTCTACCCCTTGTTTTCGAGTGTCTCCCTAACGCCTTGGAACTGAGTTACAAGGAGTAGTGGTTGAAATCTGGCCCTGCAAAATGGGACAATCCTCAAATTAAAAAAAAAAAACAACGTCGCTTCATTAACAGGCTACCAGCGGTGCTCTGTAGGCGACCCGGCCCAGTGACAGCAGAGAAGTTCAGCAACCTCACTGCTGGGGTTTAGTTACATTTAGGGCATCATGCTTTCAAAGAGGGGGTTTAAGACAACTATTTATTATCACCCACTGTTAATTCTTTGGTGATACGAAGCTGAAGTCAGCTATTCACCAGCTTCTTGTTCGAATTTTCCCGTTCCACCTTAAATGGTGCAGCAGTTACATATACTTGGCATTCTGGCGCTTCAGGCGTCAATACTGCTGGACTGTTTAAGGTGGAACGGGAAAGTTACCTAGCTAGCTACCGAGACGTTAGCATGCTATTAGCGATTTTTGTGCTTGTTCTGAAGAAAACGGCCATAATACATTGAAACGACATTAAACTAAGATAATACAATAGTTATCCTAATTTTTTTTTAGCAGAGAATTTTTTTTCTTTTTTTCTCACAACACTGTTTGGAGTCTCTGAAAAACCTCAGTTTGGAGGGCCATGTAGGCCTAACACTTCGCCCTACCCCTCTATCTCAACAAAAATTGGGACACCCTAACCCTAGACGTGAACGCGCAAAACAGAGGGCTAAGGTGGTAGGGGCAAGGGGTGAAATGGGATTGGGCCTAATATTTTTCTCGGTTTTCCACACTTCCCACACCTATTTTTGTTGACAGATATAAATAACTTTGAATAATGATTGGCAGGTCACTCAGCCAATCACAGCCCTTTTTAAACACTCCTACCAACGACCTCCAACAAGACTCCTCAGAGCAATCCAGCGCCGGAGAAGGGAGATGGCGGTAAGTTAGTCAGATGGTTTGACTAAAAGATGGTTAACAGGTGTTTCTAGGAAACGCTATTCAGGCCCATGGTCATCTGGAGAGAGGTGGTGTTTATTTCATTTCATTCCTTGAAAAAAAAAGTAGGATTTATGTGTGTACAAGACCACACTCACAGCTCAGTGACAACACTGTTAACGTTAGTTAGCTACAGGCAGCTAAAGGTAAGCTAATCTTTATCTGTGTTTGCTAACGCTCGTGTTAATATCATGTCTAGCGATAAATAACATAACGGAACAATGTTAAGACGAGTTTTGTTAGCTTTACCGTTAGTTCATCTGAAAGGACAGCATCAGTTGCTCAGGGTGAGTGGTGTTAAAAGGCAAAATAGTCCCCAAAGATTTCAGACTGATCATTGTTTTAGCATCACTAACGTTACAATAAAACTAAGAAGACACGTAGGTTCACAGGTGCTTTTGGGTAGAAAATAAGCTGGCTTTATTCGCATTGTAGACATCAGAACTCCTGGTTCCTGTCACAACCACGATAAATAATTGTCAGTAAGTTTCTCTGCAAGTGAACCATTTCACATCAAACCCATCTGAATGACTTCGTTTACATCTCAACCTCTGAGTTATACAGAAATTTTGAAAAATCAGTGGCATTCCCCTGTAACCTGCAGTGACTGAAAGAATTCCCTGTTCTTACATTATTAACTTAGTTCAAATAATAAGTAGTTTTTCCTATTGATTCCTCCCATCGTGTAATAAAATTCATAATATTCATAATATCCTGCTGATATCGCTGCCTCGCCTGTTTTATTTTCTAATGGTTGTGGGGGGAGTAACATCCGGCTCAGCCAATCATGTCAGACCTTGTAAGCAGTAAGCCAATCATATCAGACCTGGGGGCGGGTCTCTGCTGCTGCTCTGTGAAGTGTTTTTTAAAGTTGTGACAGGATTTTGGCTAAAAGCTTTTTAAAATAACGTTAAACATTAGGTTTTAGTCAAAATACACCATATACAGAGTAAAACAGTAAGTATTTATAGAATGAACAAACCTGCCTTCAGTATGTATTAGTGGCAAATTATGGTAATTATAGCTTGTCATTGAGTTTTTTATACAGTTGCTTGATAGCTAGCTAGCTAGCTAACTAGGTTTACCTGAGGTAAAGAAAAAAAGGAGAGGCTAGCTAACTACATAACACCAGTTTACTCTAGTTACAGTATTTGAGTAAAAATTTCCCCCTTTACAAAGTGAAAATAAGTGTGTGTTTCAGCTCTTAAACCAGTTAGCTCTGTCAACTTTTCACATGTAACTCAATAACGTAAATATTAAAAGTTAACACAGAAAAAAGTTGACAGCGTATAAACTTTATATCTCAGCGTTTAGCCTAGCAACTGGTATTTAAGTCGGTGTTTAGTAGGTTTTTTTTAGTAGTTCTAATGGCCAGTGTACAATGGTCTGTATATTATTTTACTTTGCTCATGTTTCTGATAAACACCAGTGCCTCAGTATGCCACACACATGACCGAGAAGTCTGAAGAAGTGTGGCTGGGCTAACCGTGATAGCTGAAGTTAAAAGTTAGTTATTAATTAATGCTGTATATGTTTCAAGTGTCTGTCAGCTAGCCAATTTAGTTAACAGGTGTCAACAGTTTTGTCACAGTTTTGGAGGTACAAATTGTGTCAGGCATAACATTATGACCACCTCCTTGTTTCTGTGCTCATTGTCCATTTTATCAGCTCCGCTTACTATATAGGTGCACTTTGTAGTTCTACAGTTACTGACTGTAATCCATCTGTTTCTCTGCATACCTTTTACCCTGTTCTTCAGTGGTCAGGACCCCCATGGACCCTCACAGAGCAGGTACTATTTGGGTGGTGGATCATTTTCAGCACTGCAGTAACACTGATGTGGTGGTGGTGTGTTAGTGTGTGTTGTGCTGATCTGAGTGGATCAGACACAGCAGTGCTGCTGGAGTTTTTCACATCAGTGTCACTGCTGAGAATAGTCTACCAACCAAAAATGTGGGCAGTGTCCTGTGACCACTGATGAAAGACTAGAGGATGACCAACGCAAACTGTGCAGCAACAGATGAGATACTGTCTCTGACTTTACATCTACAAGGTGGACCAACAAGGTAGGAGTGTCTAATAGAGTGGACAGTGAGTGGACACAGTTTTTAAAAACTCCAGCAGCACTGCTTTCTCTGATCCACTTGTACCAGCACAACACACACTAACACACCACCACCATGTCAGTGTAACTGCAGTGCTGAGAATGATCCACCACCCAAATAGTACCTGACCACTGAAGAACAGGGTAAAAGGGGGCTAACAAAGTATGCAGAGAAACAGATGGACTACAGTCTGTAATTGTAGAACTACGAAGTGCACCTATACAGTAAGTGGAGCTGATAAAATGGACAATGAGTGTAGAAACAAGGAGGTGGTCATAATGTTATGCCTGATCGGTGTATATGGTGGTGATTTAGGTAATCTACTCTAGTACAGATTCCCCTTGAACTCTGTTCAGTAATTCTGTCGTGCTGAGACTTGTAGTAATGTGATCAGACTGTGGGTGGTGAGGTATGAAGTTATTTTGCCATGAGCTTACTGCACATTGACTGACAGATATTACCAGAGCTGTTTTATAGGGAGCCTGGACAATTCGTATTTCTTTCATTATATCTAAAACAGGACTGAATAATAGCTAACCTCTTTGAAAAATAGAAGGATGTATTTCACTAAGAAAGCAAAGTAAACATACCTGTATCTTTCCATTTTGCTGCAGCAAAGGGGTTTTGGGCACTGCTACTGAGTGCTGATTGGTTGATTATCTGATCAGTTCATTGGAGTGAAGTGGTTCATGTTTGCTGGTGTCATGAACGTAACATGAGGCGCCATTATAAAGTTCGATAACTGAGTAAAAAAAAAGTGCTAAAAAAATACAAGAGTGGTTTTACAGTATTTTATGCTGTTCTGTGTTCAGGAAATGATTTTTTTTTATATTGAAAACGTTTAAGCATTCACAAACTACGATTTGCTTAAACGCATATATTAAACCACTCGTTTTGAACTGCCTCGGGAGTTTAGAGACACTAAAACCAAAACACATTGCTCAGCGGAAATTCTTCTCACAACACATTCTCTGATATCATCACCTCTGCAGGACTCAGAACTGGATAAACTGCTGCTGTTAATAATAATTTTCATGGTAGAATTGTTCTATATGAGTATCAGTGATTTCTTATGGGTTGTCACTAAACACACACACATACACACACACACACACACACACACACATATATATATATATATATATATATGTGTATGTGTATATATGTGTATTATTATGAATTAATTTAATTAAATTTATCAACCTGTTTTTTTACTATTACTTAAGTAATCTGTTTATTTTAATACCAAACCAAAAAACTAGACTTAATTGAACAGTAACAAACTCTGCAAAACCTTTCTAAACTTTGTTGGAAACAGAAAAACAAGGAAGGCTGTCTAACCATGAAATGCATGCAGTTTAATGCAGAACCTATTGCACTAGCATACTGTGATCAGTCATAGGAAATAACTTTTTTTTCCTCATGTAATATCATGTTTTGTTTGTATAGTTCTTTTCCAGTGATGTAGCCAAGTCTCTTTTTCAGATAGTAATTGTGGATGTACAATAAAGTAACTCAATTACTCAAGTAGTTATTCAGTAAACAACTTATTTACTCCTATGCAAATTTTACTTAAGAGATTTTTAGTACTCTGCAGAGGTTGGCAGTAGCTAGACAAGTGAAAAAGTGTAAGAATTTTAAGACATTTCACAGATAGTTTTCAAAACCCTGCAGTGGAAATATGAAACAGTCATACCAGTATTAGCCAAAGTTGCTTTTTACAGCAACTTCATGTTGGTGCAAAGGACACACAGTGTTGACCATAACACACTTTTATTTCCTTCAGTTTCTTATCCTGTAGATGGGAAATTACATGGGAGGCTGCAGCTCTGTGGAAGGCCAGTCAGGTGAGAAGATTTTTGCCAGTTCAAACAAATAATTGAACAGACTAATCTCTTCTTAATCCTTGAGTTCTTGTAAATCTGAGTTTAATAAAAAAAATTATGTGATACTAAACACAGGCAAGGAGTGGGAAGGAGATTGACAGAGCTGAAGGAGCAGGTATAGAAGATAGTGATCAAGAAAAAGTGAGTGAGCTGCTTATGCTTTCAGTTAAAATGAATACTTGAAAGAAATGTTATTTTCTTCATATATCCTCATTAGAGTGTACCAGGCTATACCAATCTACAGTCTGTGTTTAAATAACGTGTTTAGAATCTGCAACTTATCTAAAAGAGAAGACATAGTGTTGCTTAACTTTGTTGTAAACTTTAAAGTGGACCTATATTTAAATCTTTCTAGATCCATGCTTAACACAAACTATGAAGAGATAGATCTTCTGCATGCAGATTTGGCCAAATAGCCATTTTTTTTTTTTATCAGTTTTCTGCCTATGGCTACTCAAAAAATCCATGACACTCATTTATGTGGTTAGGTTGTTCTTGCAAATCATGTCCTTGTCTCAGTTCTTTCTGCTGGCCAAGGTCCACTGAACTCTAAGTGCTGTTTCTGTAAAGTTTGGAAAGGGCGATATGTTGATAATTAGAAAGCATCCCACTCAAATATGGTTCTTCAGCCGAGAACGAGACAAAACTGGACCAGAGGTGATGATAACTCACCTGCCATTTCAGAATGATTCAGTGGAAAAACAAGCAGTAGTGCCTTCTTCCGTAGGCACAGTTGAAATATCCACAGCAGTTTCAGAAGACAGTATTCAGACTTATTAAATTTGTGCAAACTTTGGTTTGTTATAGAATTCATTTTAAATTGACTGTCATCAGTATACACACAAATTTCCATAATGATAAAGCTAAAATTTGTGGAAATATATCCAAATCTTCTATTCAACCAGGCCTTTTAATATATCTTGTAGAAATACCTTTGGTAGTGGCTGCTGTCTTCTCGGGCATGCCTCTTGCAGCTTTGCACACATAAACCTGGATGTTTTCCCACATTTTTCCTTGCAGATTTTCTCAACCCCCAGCCAGATTGGCTAGGGAGTATCTGTATTTTTGAAAAACACTGACTACTTAACAACCTCAATTCCAAAAAAGACTCTATTTTTACCATAGAGAACTGCACTTGGTCCTCAAGGGCCACAGCTTGCTGATTTCACTGCTCTAGCACATCTACATAATCATGTAATGACAAGTTGAATTATGTGTATTTAAGAAGGCAAATCACCAAACTGTGCTGCCCAGGCCTGGAGTTGTCCATTTCTTATTCAGATGTAACCAATAGCTCTATTTCAGTACCTTTTAAACAGGCCTTTGCCAACTTTACCTCACCACTCAGAAGTCTGCATTAGCCTACATTTAACCTACAGTGGCTATTCATAATACAGGGGGAGGACAACAGGAAGCAAACACACCCTTGGATAGGGTAGAGAGAGAATTTATAAGATATGGTTGATGAAGTGCGGAAGACATGGTTGGCCCTCTGGCAGGTTGTTGCAAAGCTGATTCCCTGGTCAAAACCCTTCTTGCCTAGTCACTGAGTTTGACTGGGTAGCTAAACTGCTTTTTTTTTCCCACAGTGATGGAGGAACTTCCAATGCGTTAGTAGCTTTTTTCCCCCAGATATATACCACAGAGAGGGGTAGTAAGTTGTTACATTTACTTAAGTACATGTGCTTGAGCAAAATACTGATGGATTTGCGCTCTCTTGAGTATTTTCGAATCATAGTACTTTTTTTTCTACTCAAGTATATGAGTGAGAAAAGGAATCTGCTTTTTACTTGGTTACAGTTTAGCCATTTATGTTTACTTACTTATTCCTTTTTTGTGCTTTAAGGGGAACTCCACTGATTTTGCTAAATTACTTAATCATTCAGTGGTTTAGATGTAAACAAAATCATTCAGAGTGGGACGGTGTGAAATGCGCCTTTCTAGAGAAATTTACTGAATCAGAATTGTTCACCATTATAGTACTAGGAACCAGATGTCCGAAGCATTAAGTGGCTCTAAAAGCTACGTCCTATTATTGCACGAAATGGTTTTGAATGCATTGCTTGATATCAGAGACATTGTTTTGTGATAGTTTTGTTAAAGTTTTGGCCTAAACCTTTTTTTTATATAAACTATTACTCCAGGATTACTTCCATGTTTCTTGTCCAAACCGCATTTTCAACCGAGATCAGTGTGCGCAAGTTAACATGCTTTTGTAGTTACTAGCCTGTAGCTACAGCCGTTCAAGACGGCTAACGCCGCTGTTGTATCCGATTCAGTTTCCCCTCAAATTTGCGTTCTCTTCGACAAATCAGGTCTTCGGGCATGCGCACCTTCACTGAACAGATAACAACGGCAAGCAGTACTGGATTGACGGAAAAAGCGAAAAGGTTCCAAAAACGTCTGTACGGCAGCTGTAATCACCCATTCGCCAACGAACAGCTTTTCTGATGAATATTGTTACTTACCTGAGCTATGTTTAGTTGACACCGTGTGACGCAATGGCGCCAACCCAAACAACACAAAAGGCACGCAGGGCGGAGAGGTACATGTAGAGCTTTGTAAGGAAAAAATCTTACCCCTTTGGAAAAATTATTTTTCCAAATTTAGCATTATTTTACCATTATCAGCGTGACATATAAAAACTTGTAAGACACATGTAAGCTCACTGTTCATTTTGGATACCAGATAAAGTGGTGTATTTGTAGTGTAGACATAACAACGTCTGGTTCCTAGTACTACAAGGGTGAACAGTTTAGACTAAAAAGGTGCATTTCACACCGAACCACTCTAAATGATTTTGTTTACATCTAAACGGTTGAATGATTGATTAAGTTTTGCAAAATCAGTGGAGTTCCCCTTTTATTATGTTTTGATGGGGACAGCATTTGTACAGGTTTGTGATTGGTCATACCTCTGACTTTAGTGCTCTAGCATTTTATTTTAGACCAAAAGAATTCCAAAGAGAAGAATAGAGAAAAGCATAGTTCAGTTTCGGTGCTGATAGACACTGGATTTACTAAGAAATTCCACTGCAGTTTTATAAGAAACTCAGAACTTGAGTAGTGTTTTGACCCAATACTTTTGTTATTCTGCTCAAGTTATTTTTTTTGGGAGGGTGCTTTACCTTTTACTTGAGTCATTCTTTCGCCCAAGTATTCACACCATTATTTGAGCATGGGTTAAGGCTAGTCTGTCAACCTCTGGTCGCCTCTGGTCTAGTTCTGTCTTGGAGATCTACAGATAGCTGACTGTAAGGCTTGTTTTTTTGCTCTGAGATACACTGACAGACTGTGGGACCTAATAGGCCTTTCCAAATAACATTGTCAACTGAATTTCTCCACAGCTGAATTGCAAGTTACAGTGATATCACAACAGGTTGCAAATGAGCTCAGTTTAGAGAGCCAAAGCAAGGTTTGTAAATACTTCTATAAATGAAATATAAGGTTTTTTTAGTTAGTGTATATATTGATGGCACACAAACAACTAAGAATATAATACATTTTAAATGAAGCGTATAACAAAAAGTACCACTTAGTACATCCCAAAGCAGCTGTATCTGTAGATATTTATTCTCTGCAGTCATGAACTAGTTCATATTTCAGTTCTGTACCTGCAGTATGGTTACAGTGTGGTAGTTTTGATTTGATTACCACTGTGGGTTGCTGTCTTACTTTTCTTTGACAACAAGCTTGTAATGAATTTCTCTTAATTATCTGACTAGAACATCAAAAGTGCAGTTCTCTCCCCAGTGTTCTCCTCTTTGTCTTGTGTCATCGCAACATTTTCTTTCCTGCTGTCTGTTTTAGTGTTACAAATTTGAGCTTTTATTAGTCTGTAAAAGAGACCTTTAAGTCCAGTATTGTCTCTTTATCAACTTTATGCACATTGACCTCGCTTTAAAGAAGTTTTCCAAAATGTAATCATTGAAATGTCATGGTTCATTGAATCATTGAATCATTGAAATGAATGGTTTGGTGAAACTCAGTTGTAATAGAAACCAGGGGCTGCAATGTTTTTGTATGTAATGGTAAAATAAGAATAAATCAAAGAAGGTTTTCTTAGGCAACTATTTTGCCTTACAGTTGCTTGTATCTCTCCACCATGAATGGAATGCATTTCAGAAATGCAGAAAAGTTGATGGAATTCCCCTTTAATGTTGTTTTGTTCTTCCATAATGTATTTGCGCTCTCTCTTAAAGCTGTTTTCATCTTTGGTTTACTTCATAAACATTGTGGTATGACTCTCTGGGCCACTATGAGTCAGTTTAATGCTTTGAACTTTACCTGCCTTTGTTAAACTTTCAGGTGTCTGGCTCTTTTCAAACCTCTATGATGGGGAAAAGGAGAAAGGGGTGCCACACTTCAAGGGGAATTCCATTGATTTTTCAAAATTTCTGCAGAATCACGGAGAATTAAAGTCATTTAGAGTGTAAGATGTGAAATGGTTCATTGTAGAGAAACTTAACTATGTTTTTAGTGGTTGTGATAGGAACCAGAGATTGCCGTGTTCAGAATGAATGTAAAGCTGTTTAATTTTACTCGATTTAACTCAACAAGTGTCTTTTGAGTTCTATAAGTAATGTTGAGGGTGGTAAAATAGTGGTGAATCTAAAAATTGTATTGTTAAAAAAAAAACTGGGGAAAAAAATGTAAAAATTGTTCACCACCACTGTGAGCAATTACTTTACAACAAACCATTTCACATTGCACCAGTCTGAACGACTTTGTTTACCCCTGAACTATTTAATTGGGCAGACAAGTGTTTGGGAGTCCCCTTTAAGTGCATGACTCAAGAGCAGTAACAAAGGAAATACTAGAATCTTGAAACATAGAGGCAAAGTAATTATATATTTTAATTAATATTTTAAATAACAAATAATTACAATCATTTGAAAATAGCAGTAGATAAATACAATGTAATTAAGCTATCTGAGAACAATGATAGTAGTCCATTTCAATCACTCAACATGAGTGATTTTCTTCTTGCTACTGAATAAAAAAATAACCATATACAATCAAATGGGTCTGAATCTGAGTAGTTGTACAGTTGACATCACTGCAGAATGATCTGTTCTGATGCATGTTTAGCCTTTTCACATTACAGTCTTCGAATCAGCAGCCCTATATCCATGATATTATAGAGGTGCAAACAAAAAGAGAAACATAATGGTAGCTCAGAAAAGGGAAATATCACTGAAATAATTTTGTATATAAGACTTTAAAAGTATTTGAAAAACAAAGAAAGTTAACAAGAAGTACTAATCATTGCTGGGAAATGAATCTAGCATATTTGGTGTTCTACCACTGTAGACCAAAAATACATAATCAGTCCTTTCTTTTACACTCACACGGCAACTGATGTTCTTCATATTCATGACTGTTATTAGGCAAGTTAAATTAGTGTGATTTTCTTGTTGATAACATACTCAGTGACATTACTAGCTTTGTAACCTGTTAATACATTAAAGCATCCTTTTTGGCACATGACTGAAAGTGTCTGTTATCATAAAACACCTTCATTGAGAAGAACTGGAGTGAAACTCAGAGATTTCATCTCTAGACCTGTGAATGAGACTACGCCTTTATTATGCATATAATGTGCTAAATGATCTTCTCTCTGTGGTTCTGGGAAAACGTACTTTAGATCCTCTGCAGTTTTGCTCATGAAAAAACTGAGGAGAATTACGCACTTAGAGGAACACATCACCGTTTTTCAGAACTAGGTTCATTATTTCCACCATCCATCACTATTAGCTTCAATGATAACCAAGGAGGTAAGCAGGGGAAGATGTCCTATAGAGGATGGGGAAAAATGATGGAAACTGAACTGTGACCAATTCTCTGTATCAGTAGCTTTTTTTTCTTTTTTGTATGTGTTTTATGTGTATTCCGGCAAATAAGAAAGTTTTAAAAGAAATATTAAATATTGAATAAAATCACGAAAATTCACAAACGTTTGTGCATGCCCGTAAAGTGGATACACACTGCAAAAATGTGTATCTTGGCAAGTGAAACCATCTTAAATCTAGTCAATATATCTACTATAATAGTCTCATTTAGAGATTGTTTTATGATTATTATAAGATGATTTAAACTTATGATTATAATCTTATTTACTTATTCACTTATTTTTTATCTAGTAAAATTGTCTTATTCTATTGAATTTTGTCTTGAAACAAGCAGAATTATCTGGTAATAGAATAAGATAATGTCTACAGATAAAATGACTTTAAACAAGTACAATAACCTAAAATATTTTTACAAAAATCGCATAATGCAAAATACTAGATACACTAACTAGATTTAAGATGTATTCACTTGCAAACATATTTACAGTATATTGTTTTGCAGATAAAAAGAAAAGTGATAAATTAGGATAGAAACACATTTTCCAAATAAATAATGTAAAATGCAAATAGAATAAAAATCATGACTGCTTATGTGTTTCTTTTTTCTGCCCAGCCATAGCTACAAAACATGACAGAAGGCAGCAGGTACCATAGGACTAATGAAGAAATTAAAATGTACCTTTTGTCAAAAAACAAAACATAACAGTGATATTAGACCTAAGATGCTGCAGCTCAAGCTGTTATGTTCTTTCGTAACATGGTTATTCGCAAATGTAATTTGACAGGTGGATGGAAACCTGTCTACTGCTTCTTAGTGCTGGTAATGTAATTGTTTTGGAAGACACTGCTTATTACATATTGCAGTCACTCTCATGACCCACAAATCACGAAGCACAATCCCAAAGAATTTCACCTCCTGGTCATCAAAAATAAGAGAAAAAAATAACACGCTACTTCAAAGATAACCAATAACACTTGACGTTTAAGATATTACATTCAGTTGACTGGCAAACATCATACATACTAGGGAGAAAAAAAATTTAATGGAACCAGCATCTTAAAGACACCTGATCACCACCTCAGCTAAGAATTGTTTGCTAATGGAAGTGACGTTAACTTTTGTGTGCTCATTTCTTCAAACTGCGTGCTGATAAATCAGGAAGCAGCCTCGATGCTCTTTTTTCAACTGACTCATAACGAACCTGAAACAAAGTGAAAATCACTTTTGTCTCTCATGGTAGGAAAATGTGTCATGCTTCTCAGAAAATCGTGAGTTGGGAGCGTCATGCAACAGAGGGGAAGATAAAGAAGAAGAAAAAAAAAACACGCACCAAGAAAGTATCGCAGCGCCCTACGCAAACATCCCGAATGTCAAAGGGAGTTTCGTCACAGTTTCGCTCGCGGTTAAACATCTGGCTGCTTCATTTCATGGCAGCTGCTAGTGCAGTTGTCCTCTATTTGGCCACCATCACAAAAAAAAAAACCCTGTTTTGTGACTTCAGTAGCAAGCGAAAAAAAACAGCTGACATGAAAAGGACATTAAAGCAATGATTTGAGATACTCAGTTGAAGAAGTTGACAGCATGGTTCCTCCTCAGCTCGAAGTCTACTAGTCAGCATACCTAATGATGCTGATGTAGCTGGAGAATGGTCGAATGTCGGCACACTTTATCTGATTCTTTGGGAACGCCCGTACAGACAGCTTTTCCATTGCTTTCATGTTCAGTAGAAGGAAGGCACTGAGGCTGGCATCTTGTTCATTCTCCGTGAGCTGTCGAGTATCAAAGACGGCGGCCAACTCTTGCTTTTCCATTTCGTTGTTCCCTGTGTAATTGAAGTCCACGAAAAGCTGAAGATCTACGCTGGCGTTTCCTTTTTTGAGACCGTACGTCACATGAACGTAGATCAGGTAGATGCCAGTCTCTTTCACAGTTATCCACGTTTTGTTTCGATCCAGAAATAAATGACTGACGCAGCACTCCTCCTCCCAGGCCAGATGGACGTCCTGACAGCCATCCACTGGATAAAAAGACAAAGATGAAGATAAACACTGTGGCCTGACAGAATCTCTCAGACGTTGTTGCCCGATGACTATTGACCAGGGGCCTGTCTGACAAATCAGGATTTCTTGCTTCGCCAATTAACTTTTTTTGGATCTAAAGCTGGATTTTCTGTCACACAGCAGTGCATAATTTGTGCCAATAACATCAACATGGCAGCCATTTAGCTACCCCTTTAGCGTTTTCAGTAAAAAGCCAAACCTGTAAACAAATATTAGAAACACCTCGCACTGCATATATAAACGTAAAGATATAATACAAAGCAAGACTATAAAGCAGTTAGAGCAGCAAAAAAAACACTAAGCACAGTGACTGTTGCTTTTTGCCATTATAACTGCTTTACTTTCTTTTGTACATAGTGTTGGGAAATTTCTTGTTCCTCTGCTGAAAACTAAGTCCTCATTGTTTCACAAGGCTGGCTGTCTGACATAAATGTCACACTGCTATCTGCATGCGTACAGAGATTAATCATTGCCTAGATTAACAAAGTAAGCTATTAACCACCACCACAAAAAGAGTTATGGTTGCATTTGCTAAATTCTGTGAAGCTGAAACTTAAACACTGTTTAAAAATGACATGAATGTGTTTTGTTAGACAAGCCCTAGAATAATTTTGGATTAGTATGCACTCCAAATTACAATAAGTAGCGCTTTTGGTATCACTTGCATATTCTGTTCATACATCTGTTCGAACAGATGGTTCCAACCACAAAGTCTGAGTTTGTTTATTTGATACCAGTGTGTTTTTTCCCCCACAATGATATATAATTCTTATTATAATAATAATTGTATTATTTATAACTATTTTTTTGGCATTTACAGTACTGGTATAATCAAAGTCAGCATGTCGGTATCAGTATCGATATTGGTATTGAACAATTTTAAAGCCTTAGTCATAACACACTACTTGTGGAAATACTTTTTCATGGAGGAAATTGCCAATATTAAAACAACAATCTTGGGACTTCTTTATACTTCTGTTCTTTGCAAACTTATGAATTATTTGCAAATCATATAAATCACATCTGATCTCAGTCATGATAGGTGATAACGGATGTTGGGCTTGACCGTAGTATTTTTTTTTTTTTAAAACAACTTGTTTTAAAGGAAGTTTCTGTTGAATACTTTAATAAGTGAAATGTTCAGTCAAACCTCTTACCTTTAAAAATCCCCTGTGCTTTGAGAGATTCATTTCGATAGACTCGGAGCATGTGTGCCGCAAAAGTCTCTGCTGGCCAAGAGTAAAGACAGCAAAAAGAAAAAAAAAACAGTTGCTGTGATATATTGACAGAATAATTGTAAGACACTGCAGAGGAAACCCTTGCATCATGCCAAGCAGTGTGCTAGAAACGGCAATGGAGAGAGTTACGGGAAACAGCGCTATAGCTCACCACAAGCACGCATGATAAATAAGAGAAACATACAGTAGAAAGCACACTTTCTCACATGAACACATATTAGCAACACATAACCACAGGCACCAACAGCCTTATCTTTATGAACCTTAGGTTTAATTGAGTTATATTGCTGGTGGAAAACTTCTACAGAGAGGCTCTATTACAAGGGAAAAAAAAACTATGCTTGATAACATCTCCATGCAGAAAAAAAAGACCACTCACACACGACCCTAAGAAAAAAAACTTCCTGTATATGAGACACAACATCCTGTAATAAATCTATGTTACATGTCAGTGAGTCTCAGAGAAAAGGAAGTGTCACAGTGACCTCCATGACTCTGCTATGCACTGTTCAGACTCAAAGACTGAACACTCATTTTATTCAAGGATTTTGACAAACGTCTAGCATAGTAAATCAAAAATGTAAAGGAATTTCACTGCTTTTTCCAAATGATCAGTGTGATTCAATTGTTGGGATGTAAACAGTCAGAGTGGTTTGAGTGCAGATCTTACTATCTCAGATTTCTTTACAGTTGTGGTGATTGGAATCAGGGCTACGTAAATATTAGCCATTTTGTTTGCAGAAGAACCTACATGTGTCTTCTGAGTTTTCATATATAGCGATTGATGGAGGGAAAAAAGGCTAACAAAATACTCCAACTTCTTTGCCTTACATTATGTACCTCTCCATGTATTTCATAAACATGTTTCAGGCCAAATCCTTTTCTCAGAACTATCATAAAGCAATGGCCCAGGCATCAGGCACCATATTCATAACCACTTAATGTAATTACTTTGTGTGTTAGCTTTAAGAAGGATTTAAAGATTTAACTTCGGATGTCTGGTTTCTATGACAATCACTGTGAACAACTGTGACATGGCAGGTTTCTCTGGAATGAGGCATTTCACACCAAACCACTCTGAATGACTTTAACAATCCTCTTAATAATTGGATTATGCAGACATATTGAAAAATCGGTAAACCTATGTTAGTCTATGTGTACTGTACACCTAACAGTGCCAAAGCTAATCATGAAGCATCTCTAAAGGAATCTTCATTTGTCCACTCTTTAAATCCAAACAGAGGTGGGTAGTAACTACTGCCATTTACTCATGTAGAGGTTTCATGTACTTATGTGTTGCTTACTGGTGTATACTCAAGTAAATATGTGGAAAAAAGTATCTACTTTTTTACTATGTTACACTTCAGCTACTCTGCAATTCTCTTTTTTGGGTTCAATACATTCTGTTTGGTTGGTGACAGTATATGAACTGCTTTGCTGTAGATCTCTTAATTTCTAGCTTTAGCATATTATTTTAGACCAAAGGGAGCCAAAAAGAGAAAAATAGCACCAAACTTTAGTTCCTATGCTGACAGATGGTGGATGTACTAAGAAGTTCCACTGCAAATTCTATAGGGAGCTCAGTATTTGAAGATTTTTTTTATCTTAGTACTTTTTACTCCTTTTTTTTGCTAGGCCACTTTTACTAGTAACAAGTATACATGCTTTTTTGAGTATGGCTTGAGTTTTACTTTAAGCTGCTCTATCCATCTCTGAAAACCACACGCTGTGTGGACTGAGGATGAATTCCTGAAGTGCCTTTCTGAGCATATAAACAAAAAAAAGTGCAAACCTACCACTGATGATTGATCCTCTGGGGTTCTGAGGAAACTGGGGAAAAAAAGAAATAGTAAGTAGATATTACACTCTGTCCACTGCCAGTCATGACAAAATGTATACACAATTATAGACAAAAATATTCTAAATAAAGAACAGGACATAGCGCTGGACATAGTGTTGGAGAACTGCACACTAACGACACTAAATAGTATGTCAAAAATAGCACACCACCAACAGAAGTCCTTTAATTAGTGTAGTATGTGTATTATAGCAGTATGTGGTTTTGGACGTAGCTGGAGTTTTCCAAAAGTCAGGCATTATTTTTTCCTCCACCCGTATTCAGACACGCCCGCCCTCCTGTGCGAGGATTGGCTAGCAGCATCCAGCGTCGTGCTCTAAGATTGGCTAGTTGCCCACAGTGACAAGGCATTCACTAGTAGCGTGAAGTAGTAGCTAATCCGAACAGTGCAGGGCGGGACTGTCGCAAAACGGGTAGGAAAAGTAAGCTCTGGAGCGGCGGACACGCCCCCTCACCCTCCCGCGCTCCCAGCCCAGTACAGAGCCGTTTAGAATCTTAAAGTTTGAACTCGTTTCAAACGTTTAAGCCAAGAGGTTTAAAACGACGTTCCATTCCATCGACTTGACGGAACTGTATCGTATAACTGTAGCTCGGGCTTCAGCAGAGCCCAAATCAGAAGACGAGATAGACCAGAGTCCACTTCAAAGTGACTGGACTAAATAAATCTCAAACACGTAAATAATGGACCTATCATACCAGGCACCATGACGAGAGGTGGGGGGTATTTTTGCAAAGCGCATTAATTTTCCCGTGAATTTAATACTTTACGGGGGAATTCCACCATTTTTTAAAATTTCTAGATCTAGAGATACACACAGTCATTCAAAGTGGTTGGATGTGAAATGGCTCATTGTAGAGAAACCTACAGAGTCTCACTTCTTTACAGTGGTGGTGATAGGAACCAGTGGTCGCAATGTCTACAACACACGTATAGCCATTTTATTTACTATCCAAACCCACCAGCGAAGCAACACGTGTCCTTATATGTAACGCTGATGATGGGAAGTCGTAAATCTGAAAAAGGGACTGTTTTGCCTCACGACCCCTCCGCCATGAATGGATTAAAATGCATTTTAAGCCAAAACTATATGGCACAATTATCATAAAACAGTGTCGGACACCATGCAGCGAACGTCTAACCATTTCATGCAATAACTTTCTTTCAGAAGTGGACGTCTGGTTCCTATCACCACCACTGTGAACAATTCTGACTGTAAGTTTCTCTAGAACGGAGCATTGAACACCAAACCACTCTAAATGGCTTTGTTTACATCTCAACCTTCTGATTTTATAGGATTTTTTTTTTTAATCGGTGGCGTTCCCCTTTAAGCCAAAAGAGACACTTTTCTAGAAGAAGACGGCTTTGCCTTTTGGTTTTTGACTGGCTAGCTTCAAGGTCTCTCAAATCAATTGATTTTTCATTAAGCTTAAGCTCAAAGTGAGGATTGTCTATTATTGTCCCTCGGTTCTTCTCCTGCTTTACAGGCTTGACTTTTGGCTTACGTTATCCGCTTAACTGAGGAATCCTGAAGGATAATTCACGAAGCAGGGTATCTGCAAGCTGGGCAAACTGGTTACCTTTAGCTCCAAGTGTCCCTCGGCTCTTCTGCTTTACAGGCTTGACTTTGGCCCAAGTTATCCGGTTAACGGAGAACTCCTGCTTTGTGAAACCTCCTTCAGGATTTCTCGGTTAGCCAGATAAAGAGCCGAGGAAATGTACGCTTTGTGGGTCATTAACGCAAGTCTGCACAGGCTAGGCTAGTATAAACAGCAGCACGTTGTGGCAGCGGCTGTGACATCCAGCCCCACCCTGCACGCGGCGCAAACTTCAAAATCGCGCTTCCAACGGTCACCACAGAGACCGAAATAATCTTAATTCGAATTCGAATTTTCACGTCGAACTCGCGGCCTCATAAAGGAATAAAGCGGACATTCAAACCACCAAGCAGGCGCTCGAAACGAAGTTAGCTCAGAAGTGACGGTGAGAAGGGTCACTGTGAGAGTGCGTGTCCATCAAACTGGACCAAGTTCTTACCCTCGTTACGCACAGCCAGGTCACACACGAGGCGCAGATGGCCACGACGACCAGGGCAGATATCCAGCTGGCGTGCGTTCGCGCTATGTGCGCCATGCTCGAACACGGGTCTCGGCGAGATGCTCGAACTGCGAGTGCAAGTGTGTCGAATAGGCGATGAAATAGGCAGTCGACTGTAAAACGGGGCTCCCACGCATCCAGGTCCCCTTCCACTCTCTGCGGTCGAGCCGTAAGGTGCGTGTGGGGGTGGAAGCCTATGACACACAGCGAAAGAAAAATCTTAGACTCACCTGAACTGATATTGGGAAAAATGAGCTTAGGCTGGAACATAATGGGAGGCATGCAACAAAATAAATACATAAGCTGTGGTATGAATTTACTTCAGTTATGCCTCACAGTTTACATAGTCAGACTTTGTTACCTTAATATAGAGTTCAACTGTTGGTGACCTGAAGCATTTCAGTGCAGTTTTATTTCTGTTTCATTGCAAAGAATTTCTTTTTGGATCAACATAAACTTCTTCATGAACTCAAATGCACTTTAATTAATTTTTGCCCATTTAAAGTAAACCAGTAACTTAAAGTCAACACAATCCATTTATTTAATGTTGACATTTTCTCTTTTTCATTCATTATTTGGAGTGTGTGTGATGGATGGGGGCAAAATGAAAAACATTGAATTTCTACGTGTTATAATGTTCTGACATGACAAAACTAAATTAAAAGGAGTGTGTCGAACATAAATCTCTAGATATAACAGGTCAGCTGCTCAGGGTGGCTATGTCTTGACACATATGGATGGATGCTTTACTGTATCAGTTTTTAGCTTTCATTTAGTTTCATTTAGTGATTTAATGTGTAAAGATGAATCTCACACAGTACAAACAGCAGCAGTAGAACTCAGTGTTAACGTGTGAATTCTAATGAGTGTACAGTAATCTAATCACATTCAGTGGTAAATTCATTCTTTGTACCCACTGTAAAATAATATCGAATGACCTTGTGTGTTGGCAAACAAAATAAATAGAAATAAAAGAAACAATAACAAAACTATTACGCTATAATAAAAACTAAGCAATATAAAAAAGATAAACACATACTTAAAGAAGTTGAAGTTGACATTGATGAACTAATTAGCAATTTATCATGTATTAAAATGTGAGATTTTAAGATATCAAAAGCAAAACTGTAGGCTTTGTAAAGGTGAAATGTTAGTCACCTTGGTTTTAGATATGACCAACTAACCTCAGCGCATGAATAAAGGGAGACCAGGGAGATCACGAACACTGTAACCAGACTCATGCCAGACTCATGGCTTCCTATTCGAAGGCCATTTGTGATGAACATTTTGTCCTTTCTGGGAAAACAAATTTATTTGCCCTTTAAAATGGTGAATGACAGATCAAATGGAAACATAATACATAAAAGTAAGTTCCCACCCCATAACAATAACAGCGGCAACACAACAAACCACACTGTTTCAAGGAAAGGGTAGCAATGACAGGGAAGCCTTCATGTTCAAAGCGTTGTGTCATAGCAGTACACAACAGGTGGGCAGCCCACGGATATATTGAATGCAACCAATTCAGCTCGAGAGAGGTCTGAGAAATGCAACTGAAGTGCTAAACTGTTACACTGAGCTCTAGGCCAAGATTGCTGGAACAAACGTTATCTGTGTTAGGGACCACCCTGTTTGGTACTTCCCCCGTCCAGCAACCCGAGACCAAATCTCTGTTTAATCAAACAAACAAGGTCAAGACGTGTAGGCTATAAGCACTCTCATTTGGTGTGGGTGTTAGCGTGCGCCTGCACTAGCTTTTGCCATGCATCTTCAGACTATGATCACCTCTCTGAGGGCTTGCACATTTCATTCTGCCGCAGATTTGATTTCCTGTCTTTTACATGAGTCATGTTTATCGGTTGAATCTATTTACAGAACAAACGTATCATTTCCAAGATGGGGCCATTTCCCATATTATCTAAAAGGAAAACAGTTGCCCCAGTAGTTCTTGCCACATCGGCAGCCGCCAAATTATCAGTCCCATCCTTCAATGCCTTGATGATGTCAAATAAGCCGCAATTTCCGCTAAACTACATTGCTGACAAAAATTAATTTCCCCTCTGAAATTTGTAAACAAACATAGAATGATGGCCGTGGAGTCAGAGAGACTAACTCTCGCTTTTCAATAATTGCTTTTCAGCGATCGGAATAGGAATTTCCCCCAAAACACCCTAATTTGAGTTTGAGAGTAGCGTTAACATGTATGAATTTGTGGGAGCTTATGGAATAGTGGATTGGCCATTTCAGTTATTCTAAATTCATTTATGACAAATTAATATGTCCTGGAACGGAAGCTAGATGAAAGTTAAGTGGATTGAAGTCCTTATGTTTTGTAAGGAGACTTCCTCATTTATAGAGGCAACTAATCCAGAGGGTTTTAACCAACTGATTATCCCCAATACCACATCACTGTCTGTGGGATGCAGTATCCGTTCAGAGAGAGCCTCAAAATCTTTCTCTGTGTCACACTAGCACTGTTTCACAGGAAGCCAAGAGAGAGAGACAGGAAAGTCTCTGTCTACATTGGTTCAGTTTCCACTCGGTGCTCTCCATTAACGAAATGGAAAGCTGAAGTACTAACTGGGGCAGGGCATGAGAGATTAATATCAATGAGTGTCATTCTTCTCATTCCACTGACAGATTGTGAGATACAGCACTTGTAAATGTGTTGTTACATCTTATTACATTTAACCTTAAAATAACTGCTCAGGATCCTTATTGCAGTGTGAGATAATGCCATTACACAAGTACTTATTCACTGTTTTTGCAGTCTATGTGGCTAGTTGACTGTCTAAACTTGGTAAACTTGCATGTTCAGCTGGCTGATGCTACTGTTAATTAGCATGAACTCAGTCATAACTGCTCAAAAAGGTCAACCACTTTACACGTAATGCTGAGCTTGGTGATGTCCTGATAACAGCCTCCTTGCAGCCCACTGCGTGTTCTGGCTGTAGGGATAATAACATCATTCACCTCTAGAATCTGGAAGCGGGATTCCAGTAATGATCTCAGCATCTCCAACCATGCTCTACCTCTACCCTGTCCATTCACTGCGAGTCTTTAATTGGTTATCTGACCTGCATTGCTGAGTGCATGCTGCTACTTGCCCCCCCTCTCATGATTCATGGAAAATATTCACATGATTTCAGGAACTGTACACACCCCTACAGTGGTTTGCAAAAGTATTCGACCATACTCCGAATGTCCAGGGTTTGAGACTTCACAAAATATTTCTTACAAATTTCTGTACATGGATTTCTAAATAGGTACAGTGTCTTCCAGAATTGTGGCACCTTTGGTAACCTTGCTAAAGATCAGGGAGAAAGAAGACTTCTGTTATTTATCAGTTTGATCTTGCATTAAAAAAAAATTGAGAATCTCCTACTTTGATCCATAAAAAAGAAAAACAAAAGGAGAGGCAAAACTTATTAACTTGACAACTACAGAAGATGAATGCATCATTACTCAGACTTTCCATCGCAAAGTCTCCAACACTACGCTTAGATGCCACTTACATTCCACACTATTTGGAACAACTGCAAGAAGAAAACAAACAAACGTAAGCACCTGGAGTTTTACTAAAAATCATTGATTGGAACTGGGTTGTATGGGAAGATAACTTAAAAACAGAGCTTTAGGGTAAATACCAGATGTACTTGCAGAGAAAGTCAGGATCACCAGAAAGTAACCTGTTCCTCTATGTAAGATGTAGTGGACTTGTGATGCTGTGGCTATGTTATTTCCAAGGGTTCAAGATATCTTCCTACAACATTGGGCAAAATTTCTTAATCCTTCTCATGGCAACCCACAGCACTGGAAATTTTCAACCACTGCCCAGCCCAACACACCCAATTCAGCTCATGAAAGGCTCTGTAATCATTAGATAAGCTGGATCAGGTGTGATGAGTCAAAGAATAGTATGCAGTGCCATGGATCGCTGGAAGCAGGATTAAGAAACGCTAATATAGGGCATAATGCACTCTATCATCTACCAGGCGATTTAGATCAGTTAAGATCAGTGCAGTGATGCAGTAACTGTGATGTGTTTTTGAGGTTTTATTCTGATATGGTATTTTTTTCTTTAAATAATTCTCTCAACTGAAAGATTAAATTTCTCTTTTTTTTGTGTAAAATTAATCTGCAAACAAGAATGGCAATAATTCTGCAGGGCACAATGTTTTACAAAACTGACCATAAAGATAAATGAACTGTCAAATGTTTGAGTTTGCATTTAATTTGAAAGCAAACTCTAACTGAAGAGTTTCATTCCAAAGCACTGTAAATCCATTTGTAACCATTTTGGATATAACAAGCTTTTGAAAAGAATGAAACACTGATATTTTTTGCATATTTAAAGCACACTCCCAACAAGTTATACCACAAAAAAAATGCTTTTCTCTAATGCTTTTTGCAGTGAAACCCTTCAACGTCTGATGTATTTACATTGATTCACATCAACCCACAGTTCACTGTTGTTCTTAGCAGAGCTGAAGCACCCATTTGGGTTAGCTGACTGAGATAGCATCTTAATTTATTTTGTTGATAGGTTTAGACTTTTTTGTAGCAGGAAGGAATGAATATTGCGTTGAAAATGCCTTTTAAAGATAATTCAGAATATAATTTTAAAGGAACAGTCAAAAAGGTACTTTAAAGCCATAGTTCTTTAACAAAGTAGTGGCATTATGTTGCTTTTATTACCTGTACTAATTCACTTTAACTGGGTAAGTTTTGAAAAGCAATCCGTAATGTTGGCCACAGTTAAAGGGGTAAAGATATTCAGACCACTGAAAAGCTGCTACACGTACACACAGTACTGTGCAAAAGTCACAGACAACCCTTCATTTTTGTAATTTCCTGTCAAAACAGTCATGAAGAACAAGTTATTCATTTGTCAGGAGATATTTCTCAGTTTCCAGACTGGAGTTCAACACCAGTCTATAAATTTCCAGGAAGTGTGCGAACCCTGATGTATGAACTTACACAATGTATTAGTTACATATGTATGTGATTACTCTTCATTTATTTAATATGTTGTCAAATTTGCCATTAAGCACAAAAGGAAATTATATGCAAGATAACCCACTTGCAAAATAAGTAAAAAAAAAAAACAGGAGTTATAATAATATTTCAAAAAATCGTAAAAGATATAGACAAAATGGGACTCCTAACAACTGTGTAAGACGTGGTAGACCACAAACACTGTCATCAGATAAACGGTACTTAAAGCTTTCATCTTTAAGAGAGAGAAGAAAATCAAGCTGCACTCTTCGTTCTTCCTTCATCTGAAAAAATCCACATTTCTGTGCATCTTTCCACTCTCAGAGAAGACATCTCCACACTATGGGTCTGAAAGGATGTGTAGCTGTCAACAAGCCCTTACTGAGAAAAGGAAATGGATGAAAAAAAGATCAAACACATTAGTTGCTGGTGTTCTCAGAACAATGGACTGACCACCCCAGAGTCCAGATCTCAACATCACTGAATGTGTTTGGGATTAGTTAGATCATGAAAAGCAGAAAATGCAACCGACTTCTAAGACTGAACTTTGGAGGTGTGGAAAAATATCCCTGATTTTTGAATGGAAGTTGTAATAAAGGCAATGTAAGGATACACTAAATACTGAAAATTTTGATAGTAACTTCTCAGATATCAAATTTGATATTGTCCAAACTTGGGCTGCATCTGGCATTTACATCTGGCCCACATACCACATGAAATGATGACACAGGAAAGAGCCAGATGCAGTTGCCAGAACTGTTTTCAGTCATTAGAGGGCCACCTTTAAACCACTACTGCCAGAAGTGACCCACCACCCACCCGCAAGTTCAAAAATTAGGTCAATACACTACAAAAATGAATGTTTTAATACAGTGTAAAAAAATATATGTTTTAACTTATGGCTTGCTTAAATATTTATATTAAAGAACAGATAATAATGAACATTAAAAATAACAGACAAATTTAAGGCAGCCACAAATCTCTTTAAACTACTTTAAAAAGTAACTACACCCCACTCTTTTCTGCTAATGCCGCCCCTGGCTCAACTTTGAAAAATGCTAAAAATGGGAGGGGCATGCTAGGAGGGCACTACAGTAATGTTCGGGTTATGAGATGGGGCTGCGAGGGAGACTGAGCGGGCTGAGCTGCTGTGTTTTTATATGTAACGTTATCTACCAAAAAATATGGAGAGTGACAGAATTAAACAGCACTTTTGCAACCGAAAGGTCTTATGAGGCTGACGATTTTTCTCCACTACCATCTCCATCTTCGGTGTTGCATCCGATTCAGTTCCCCTTCATAAATCAAACCCTTGGGTACATGCACTCACTGAACAGAAACCAATGGCAAGCAACACTGGACCTTAACTTTTCCTGAACCGTTTCGCTTTCCGTAATTCCAGTGCTGCTTGCTGTTGATTTCTGTTCAGTGAGTGCGGCGCCTGAGGGTTTGATTTGTGAAGGGAAACATGAATCGGACGCAACACCAGCAGCCATATGGAGACATGCAGATATGGAGACTGTGGTGCGGAACTGACCACAATAACAATGCTATTTTTACAGTTTGAAAAGATGTGTTCACATTTTAAGCAAGGCTGGTATATTTTATTATTACAGAGCAGTGCATTTCAGCTGTTAATGATAAAGGTCTTAGGGTGTAGTTACTCTTTAAGCAAAGATATTTAGTAGTTTCTTGTACCTAAGCACTGATGCCTCTCAACCCCCAAAAATCCTATTAATTCCTGTTTAAAACGTGATTGTCCCTTAGCTCATGTCAGCACTGGCCAAGATCTGTTTGAGATGAAGGACAAATAAGCATTTTTAATATGCTATGTGGGCAAGCTTTGGTTCACATGCAGTTTACCAGTGCCAGTAATAGGCAACACAGCCATATCTCTGCCAGAAGTGGCCCGGATCTGTTTTGAGATATATGGGCTAAATAAGCATTTTTAATGTGGCCTCTTTTAGCTTACGTGCAGATTGCCAGAGGGTCAGCAGTACCAGATCTTTGCCAAAAGTGGCCCACATTTGAATGCTATCTGGGTTGTTGAGGTTTCTGTGTAATGTTCTGTTAAATATATGTTTTCTGCTTTTTTTCTGACACTGAAAAATAAATATCTTGTACTTAATTCCTGGTTCGACTGAAAATTAAATAAATGAAGGGTGGTCTCTGACTTTGAACTTGACTTGAACAGTACTTTGGTTTATCCATATAAACCTGACGGGCCTGTACCACACCCAAAAAAATCTGTTGCCAGAGGAGTTACATTACAGGCATGTCACTTTTTTAAAACAGTAAAATCATTTTAGCAATTTCAGAGTGTAGAACTGGAGGTTTCTGTGATGTGATATGCTTTTATCACAGTGTAAAAGATGCACAAGTTATATCACCTTCTTTGCATTTCAAAATAAACACAACAGATTCAGAAATCTTATTATTGATAATCGACACAATGGTAAAAATAAACACTGTTTTGCCTCAGCCTTAAAGAAACGGTCCTGAGACTGCTGCAGACCAGTCAGCATCCCCACTGCCTGCGTTGACTCATGCGAGTTATCTAGTTACCTGGGGGTTGAAGCCCCTCCCTCAAATGATGGGACAAAATCCTTTCAGGGTCAGATCAGTTGATTGTCAGTGGATTCTCACTAGATAATCAAATATGGATTTAGATTAAGTTGTACAAGAAAAGTTATTAAAACATGATTATGAGGGAGTTGTGGAGAGGGCAATACATTCGGTTTTGAGAACAAAAAAAGTGAAAATGTGGCCCCAAAAAAAAAAAAACAAGTTAGCATTACCATTGCATTCCAGCTATATTATTTGTTAGCTAGAATTAGGCAACATTTTTAGCTGTCTTACTGGACATGAGTTTGTATGTGAGTTTAACATTCACACCAGATTTGGTTTTTCATGTTCAATAATCTTTTGAATTTACCAATTAGCAAAAATGCTAAAAAGCTGTTGTTTAAAGTGTTACATATCATTGTTGCAATAATAATAATAATAATAATAATAATAACAAAAACAACAACAACAACAACAGGGTTCATATGATCATGAAAATCCAGGATAAATCATGGAATTTAGAAAATTTGGTTTTCCGGGCCTGGAAAATAAGTGCTGTAATTTCCTTGACTTTTACCCCATGAGGTGTGTTATCTCATCACATGTGAAACACTGAGGAGTCTAGATTGCGAAAAACACTGCGAGACTGAAACCAACGTATCTGTGTGTGGAGTAGCGTTACTATTATTTGCTAACATGAATCTTGGCCTGCTAAGTTGATTTGACATTCAGACACTGGAGAAGACAAATGACTCTTTCTGTGTCCCTCATCTAAATACTGTAAAAAGTTTGTCAAAATGTACTGACATTGGACTCAAATCGCCGAGAAACATCAGTTGCATAATAACTACGTTATCTCCCCATGTAAAATTTACCCACCCCGAATAGAACTTCAGTTAGCTAACTCTTTTCGCTGGCTAAACAAATATGTCTTTGTTATTGTTAAATTATTGGAGGAAACACAATGAAATGTGGAACAGTATCTGATGCTGTGGGAGTGTTAAACCTGGTGTGGATATTCTATTCAGAATTGAATAGATGGGTCAAAAATCAGTGTCATTTGCAGTCATTCCATTTAAACAGCATTCTGATTCATATTTACATATTAAATTCATATGTGTATAATGTAGGTCTTTTTTTCACAGCTGAGTTGCCTATATGTTAGTGCTGGGCGGTGTTATAATTCAGTATCATGATATTTTCAAACATTACAGTATGACGCTATCAGATCATATTGATGTTTAACATGAATGAAGTTAATGAATTTATGCTTTGTGAATTTCCTTTTTTAATGGATTTTAAGGAAAAGACTTAAGAGTTAACTGTCAAGGCTTACATACCATGAGTGAGGTGCACAAAATAAAATGCTCCTTATCTATCAAATATATTGCTAAAATATTACTAAAACAGGAAATAATGTATGGTATGTCAGTGCCACAGTATACTGGTATTAAAGATGCATCGTCCAGCACTACGCTAAATGAAGATTTCTTTTTTTTTCCCCATGAAATTCCACTTTTTAATAAGTGTATGAACCCTGTAGTAGTAATACTTAATGTTTCTATTTTACTGGTATTTTTCTTTTTGTCATAGCTTACAGTGAAGTGGAACCATTAACATGTAAGTAATAAAGGCCTCAGTTTCATTTTAAAATATTTTGGAGTTTGGTCAGTAACATTTTTTTTTTTAAATGCAAAGACTAGAAATTATTAGATATTTAAATGATATATTCTCTAAAACTGATGCAAGATTCACAAGAAGGGCGCTTTTTATGTTGCTCTGATAGTGAGACAAGATACCCTCTCTTTTCCACTTTGTGATAGAAAACCAACATTTTATTTGCTCTTTCAGTCCATTGCCACCACCTTGATCTATGAATCATCCTGTACATCCGAAAGTCATGTACAAATATAGTTTAGATTTACTGTAAAAAGACACTGTTTTAAGGGGGGCCATTCTGCCATTTTCCCCTAATTTACATTAATAATGGCATGTATAGCATGTCGCATGTATTAGCGTTAGTGATTTGCACCGTTTATCTTGTGACTCTATTTCAGTATCACTGATCAAAAAAAGAATTTGTAAAAGATCGTATCTCAAAGAACTTTCTCTAAGTTAAGTAAAAAGACCTGAAATACCACAGATTAGGAAAGGAATGTAAATATAATACAAAACTGAGCTCATGTGGGTGAGCTCAGTTTTGGCAGTATATTACAGACATAACCTGTCCGTACAAGTCATCTCTTGAACTTCAGTAATATCAGGAACTAGTCAGTCAAACTAAGCCACTGTGAAGTGAACAGAGCTAAAAGGCAGAGTTTACATTCACTGATGCAATTATTATTTTAGTTACATGTAAGGTGTGAAAAATGAGCAGTTTAAAATATTGTTCTCAAAACCTGAAAGAGTATATTGAGCCACTTAGGATTAAGAACTTGCCTATAGCCAGTGGTTACACAATATTTAGCTTAGCATAGCAGTCATAGAAAGAGCTCTTTAGATACTGCATCTCAGTGGTGACTAAATAATTATGGAAAATAAATCACAGGCAGACGCAGCAAGAAAATGTCCGGTGGCCAAGGAAAAAAAGACAGTACAGTTATAGGGGAATTCCACCAATACTGTCTGCATAATTTAATAAATGAGATGAAATTATTCAGAAGTCATTCAGAGTGGTTTGACATGAAATGCATTTTAGAGAAACTTGCTGACGCTTTACAATGGTGGTGATAGGAACCAAGGGTCATGATGAGGTAGATATGTATGTAATACTGGTGAATGTGTATGTAAATTTATATGTAATATTTCCATGTACTTCTCTGTCATGAATAGATTAAAACAAATATACATTTTAGACCAAAACCTTAACACAAAACTATTGTAAAAGAATGCAGGCATCAGGGAAAGTACTCATAACCATGTCTTTCACAGGCATTAAACGCTTCAGACGTCTGGTTTCTGTCACCACTGTGAACAATTCTGACTCGGTAAGTTTCTCTAGAACAGAGCATTTCACACCAAACCACTCTGAATGCCTTTGTTTACATCTTTATGATTTAATTATGCTGATCTGTGGAATTCCCCTTTAAGTCAAACGTCCATGTTTCGCTAGGATGCCTAGAACAAACATATGGTCAAAGCTTCATTTCAGAGGCTTGAATTTTAAAAATGGAATGGCCACCACAAGAATCTCAGATATAATGTTAAGCAAAACTGCAGTCCATAAGCAGTGTCCATGTGACTTTAGGAAGTTGGAACATATCTGTCATGAAAAGTGGTGAACGTCATATCCACCCAGTCTTATACACTCACGCAACAGTGGCAGACATTCAAAGTATTATAATATATAATCAGCATTTTCCATTTTACTTGAAACTCTGACTTTTGACCGTGAGACTTTTGCAGCTCATCTAATGTGTAGAACCTTGAATTTTTAACAATTCCCAGGTACCTGAATATATTTTCAGCTGGTCATAATTGGTTCTTTACAACCTAATGTTCCCTTCTGACGGGCCCGAGGGTGCACCAATATCACAGTACAGCTGAAGCTAACATGTTGTGGGTGAGTAATAAGGGGACTTCTTATAAGTCCTGCTTAAGGCCAACTCTAGGTTAAGAACGCAACTTGTGGTGGGGGAGGCTGGTCCGAGGGCAGCGATGAGAGAGCGGGATCAGAGACGCACGAGAGGTGGAGGAAGCAAGCACATTCAATATAAGATCTCACCATGACTCATATTGTACAGACAAGACCCCGTTCATGAGAACCTTGAAAGGTTTCTGAGTGGTTTCAGGTATCATGACACATACTGTATTATGATTCCATATCATGCTGATTGCAGGTAACCTCAGTACATCGAGACATTTGCAGAGTATGCAAACGGAAGAAGAAAGAACAGCAGGGCGGCGTGGGCTTTTGTCACTTCTGATGAAATGAGTAAACGAAGCCCGTTTCTCTTCACTTTTTTTTTTCGGCATCTGAATAACAAACAGTTTGTTCTTGTTGCGAAATCTAAGATTAGGACCGAGTCTCCCTGAGTAATCAAAACTTAATTTACTTTTTCGCAATCATCAGCATTTTACATCAAAGAAAGGAAAGTGTTGAACAGAGGTGTTTAAATAGTCATCGTGAAGATAATACCTGTGTGAGAAATGTTGACAACGATTCCACAGACGCATTTGACGTAGGAGAAAGGTCAAGCTCTTCGTGAGCTTCATTGAGTATTGGAGCAGGGAAACCACCAGACTGTGTGGGGATTTGGCACTGTAGCACTGGAATCGCACACTCCTACCCTAGACTGGAAAGACCTGAAGCGTCATGCCCTCTTCAGCATTAGACTGGCGGCTTATCGAGAGGCTCAGTGAACACGTTTATCTTCCAAGTCTGATTCTTATTCATTTTATTCGAAAAGACTCTCTTTTCTAATAAACCTTCGCATACACTGCTGAAAATAAAGGCAGGGAAAAGTGTTCTTTGGAACAATACTGTAGAAGAACCATTTTTGCTTCCGATTCAGAAATCATAACATTTTCCATTCATACCATAGTTATTTCTGAGTGAAACAGTATGAAGGGTCTCTGTGCTGGCTGAGAGTTTCAAGACAGAGGTGAAACATGATGTTATTGGTTTCCTGCCCACAGGTGAGCAGTGCCCTAACCAAAAATCTAAATGTTGTAGAAGTGGGCAAATTTTTTGACAGATCATGATCAAGGTGTATGAAGAATCTTGACCAGGGACAAAGTGCTCAAACGTAGTCTTGCGACACTCTGAAAAGTTTGTTATTTATTATTTTTCTGACTTTTTTTAACCAAGGGACAGTCATTTTTTTGTCAGTAATGTAACTCAATATGGAAGTTTTCTTAGTTGTCTAACTTGATCACTCAATGTTAATGAAATTTAGAGATAGGTATATTAGACATTGTGTTTAAGATCTCTGGTGTTATGCATTTGGATTAGTGTCCCAACATTTGCTTTGAAGTGTGTGTGTGTGTCTGTATATATATATATATATGTACACACACACATGTATACAGGCATAACAACCTCCTTGTTTCTAGGCTCATTGTCCATTTTATCAGCTCCACTTACTATATTGGTGCACTTTGTAGTTCTACAATTACAGACTGTAGTCCATCTGTTTCTCTGCATACTTTGTTAGCCCCCTTTTACCCTGTTCTTCAGTGGTCAGGACCCCCTTGGACCCTCACAGAGCAGGGACTATTTGGGTGGTGGATCATTCTCAGCACTGCAGTAACACTGATGTGGTGGTGGTGTGTTAGTGTGTGTTGTGCTGGTATGAGTGGATCAGACATAACAGTGCTGCTGCAGTTTTTGTGAGTGTCCACTCACTGTTCACTCTATTAGACACGCCTACCTTGTCAGTTCACCTAATAGATATAAGCCCACACGACGCTGTTGGCTGGATATTTTTGGTTGGTGGACTATTCTCAGTCCAGCAGTGACACTGAGGTGTTTAAAAACTCCAGCAGCACTGCTGTGTTTGATTCACTCAGACCAGCGTAACATACACTAACATCACCACCACCACATCAGTGTTACTGCAGTGCTGAGAATGATCCACCACCCAAATAGTATCTGCTCTGTGAGGGTCCATGGGGGTCCTGAAAAGGGGGCTAACAAAATATGCAGAGAAACAGATGGACTACAGTCTAATTGTAGAACTACAAAGTGCACCTATATAGTAAGCGGAGCTGATAAAATGGACAGTGAGCGTAGAAACAAGGAGGTGCTCATGTTATGCCTGTATACATCTATATATATATATACACACACACACACACACACACACATTCCAGTCATTGTTTTAGATGTAAAAATGACACCGTAGACCATTTTCTGTAGCATGGGATGTCGGCTCATACATACATATCTAAGCCCTTTGAAGTATTTCACAATAAACTGTGCTAGGAAAAAGGTGTGGGGCAGCACTGTGTACCGTGCCAACCGCAAAACTTCGCAGGGCCCACATCTTTGTTTTAAAATGTGTTTAAATTAAGCTTTAACTACTGCTGTCCAAAAAAACATGAAACATGTTTTTTTCTATTTTTATTTTACTACATCACTCGAACATTTCCTCACTGGAACATTTCTTCATTCGAGCTATTGCATTATTTGAAAGTTTCATGATGAATAGACCAATAGAAATGGTCCAATGGGACAGCGATGATATGGCTTGCTATGAGCAGGTTTTGGTCAAATGTGTTCATATTGCTACTGTGATACCTGGTGGTGTAGACGTGTGTCTCGCAGCTTTCCGCACTTTCTCACTTTTGTATGATGACTCTATACTGTGGCTTTCTGGCGCACACCGCAGCATCCTTATCGCTGTACCTACAGCAGCACAGACTCAATGCTATATACTCAAAATGCTAAATGCTGACACTGAATATGTTCTTCATGATAAATGACCTTTCTGGGAAATATGAAAATTAGGTTATCTTTTAAGTAGACTGATGAACAAAGTAATACTTATCAGTATTCACATTGGGGAAGTAGAATTTGCTTACAGGTAATGGACTTCCAGAAATTTACAAATATAGGATGTAATTTGGGACAATTTGTCAGTACAAGCTTTTAGCAAAATCTAAAATCAACTGTGCACTCCTAACCAGTGAGTCACATGTTCATTGTTGCATAAGGGTATAGTGGATAGCTACGCCATCAATAAAGATTTAATGCTTGCAGAAACTGATTCAGACGAAGAGTATCTATGCAAATTTTGACAATGAAGCAGGCTTGTTTTAAACTACATGTCCAAGTACTTTAGTAGGATGATGTGTTTCTAACCTATCGATTGAAACTCATGAAAGGAAATAGTTATAGCTAGGGCCCAATGGATATACCAATCGGCTGATACTGAGGTCAGACATCATCCTCCCTTTATTTAAATTACAGTCAAAATGGCCATGAAGAACAAGTTACATTATTCAGAAAAAAGCAGTAAATCTATCGCCAAAAAAAAAACCTTGCGCTTGCATTTAGTTTTTTTAAAGATATATTTTTCTACACCTCCAAAGTTCAGTCTTAGAAACTGGTTACATTTTCTGCTCTCTCTCATGATCCAAGTAATCCAAACACATTGTGATGTTGAGCTCAGGACTCTGGGGTGGCCTGTCTAGTTCCAAAAGCAAGTAGTAGCTTCTTTAGTTGATGTAAAATTTTCTCTTTTCTGGCCAACTACACATCAGACCTGTCACCAACGCCGTGCAACCTCACCCTCACATCCTGACCCCACTGATGCTGCTGCTGCTGCCTAAACTAAACTAATCAAATTAATCATTTGCTCCACCTGTTTTCCCCGTTTTTGTACTAACAATTTTTACTATCCGGTGTCGACCAAAGGAGTCTTGGTTCCTCTCAAGGTTTCTTCCTGCCTCTTGGGGAGTTTTTCCTTGCCACTGTCGCCACTGGCTTGGGGGTTTGGACCCGGATTTCTTTCTGTAATGCTGATTTTTTTTGTTTTTTGTAAAGCTGCTTTGTGACAACACCTGTTGTAAAAAGTGCTATGTAAATAAACTTTGCTTGCTTGCTTGCTACCTATAGTGATGAGCTGTTTTCTCACAGTGAAAGGATGGCCAGAAACACCAGTAGATGTTTTTCAGATCTGAAGCAAGATTTAAGATTGATTTTCTCCTCTTTCTCAAAGATAAAAGCTTTAAGAACTGTTTATCGGAGGGCGAGTTTTGGTGGTCTACCAGCTCTTGAACAGTTGTTAGGAATCCCATTTTCTTTGTATGTTTTAAACGTTTTTTGAATCCTACTGTTTCTTTTCCCATTTATTGTCCTTTTATTCCCCCCACTCATGTATCTTATCTAATCTCATAAGTACAGGGTAATTCAAAAAGATTCATCCGATTTACCATATTTTTTAACAGCCGTGAAGTGCCTAGGAACCAATCACATACCAATTGAAAGAGTTTCAATTCAATAGAGTTTCTATCACCGGAAAATGGCTCCCTTCAGTCTGCGAGGAGATGGCAACCCCTGAGGAGAAAGCTTTGCGTTCTCCATGTCAATAAGAATATGAATGCTTCATAACTGTGTAACATAATTTTCGTCGGGAACCTCCAACAGCTCAGAGCATTTGTTGTTGGTTCCACAACACTGGATGATCTCCGAAATCGCATTGAAAGAGCTGTGAGTACAGTGACACCTGACACGCTCAATCGAGTATGAGATGACTTTGACTATCGCGTTAATGTTGTCTGTACAGCTGGAGGGGGTTCATATTAAGAGCTTGTAAAATTACGTAATAAACTTCATGCTCACATAAACCAGTTACAACTTATTGCATTGTTCTGTAATGATTTACAAGTGAAATAAATCCTTTTGAAATCGGATGATTCTTTTTGAATCACCCTGTGTATTTGGAAAAAGGAATAACTTGTGCTTAATGACTGTTTTGACAAGACAAGACATTTAATAAATGAAGGCTGGTCTCTGACTTTTGCACAGTACTTTAAGAGCAGAACCCAACAAAACCACTAAGAATTCTGAGAAACTCTACCTCCTGTGCTAGAACATCACAGAGAACTGACATCATAGGCAAAGCTGACACCTGACAGTAATATGATAATATGCAGTAAAACACTGTTAAACTAAAACTAGTGTAGTCTGTCTGGCTACATTACATTATATTGGCCAGTGTTGTTGCTTATCTGAATTTTAAGCTCCTTAATATTGGTGTAGGTCATGAAATTTGTTGGGTTCTAGTTATAACCAAAAGAAGAACCGAGGCAGTATGGGCAGGCAGAATGGTACTCAATATGGCACTGCATGCAAGGTAAAGTGATCACTGTACATGGCAAAGTAGGTTAAAATTGATTTTTATTGAAATCATTCCCAGACTTTTGTTGTGATCGGGGGTACGGTGCCCAAACTGTAATTTAAGACAATGCTTAAGGCCAGCTTGAAAATTTTGAAATGTCTTCTCTGGTCAGTTTGACATCTGTGTGTGTGTGTGTGTGTGTATTGGTATCTCCCCCACTGTACCTATACAATAGCAGCTTCTTTATTTACAACTTCATTTCTCTGTACAACCATTATTTACAAGTATGAACATGCCCCATGTGGGGGAGTACCTGAATGTGAGAAGAGAGAGCTAGTGGAAAAGTAGTAGAAGATACAAAGTGATTGATTATTCAGGACAGATACTGCTCACTGCTTCAAATACTGTGTCAGTTAACAGGGTTAATTTAGTCTGCTCAAACCAGCACCCAGGTGAGTCGTGCTGCATTGATACTGAACTGTTTTCTTAAGCACACTTGCCGACTTTTTTCTTGCTTATACACTGACAAAGCATTTTCCAGTCTCTCCCTGCACTTGCCTTGAGTTAGTAATTTAGCTAATTCACGCAGTAAGCCTTCCTTTAGAGATTTTCCCTCTTTGATTACTACCTCTGATGACCTATCGCTCATTCTGTCACTTCCCTACTCGCTTTCACGCAATCACTACTTCTCTGTTCACTCACTCACACTCTCAGGAGCAAGAATACGTTTGGCTGGGCCCAGCTTACAGGTGCCAGAGGGCTGACGAGCACTCTTCCATGCAAATGCATCCACCTACATGCTCAGCACTCTGGTTTGCCCAATCTACGTTTTTGATGGGTGGCGATGGTGTGAAAGCTATTGTAGTGGTTGGTTCCTGTCAGTCTGGAACAGGTGTGAAAAGCATTCGCAAAGCTAAGCTCCTCTCATCTCCTTGTTATGCACTCTTGTTGTGAGTTCTCTGAAATGCATCTGTGTGCTTTTTCAAAGTGGATGTCGCTGCAGGAAAACACTGCTAATGTCCTGTAATGACCATTCATTAGTCAGCCATGAGGTTCACTTAAATAAATTAAATATAATTCTGTGCTTTAAAAAAAAAATTTAAAAAATGCAGCGTCATAATGTGGTCCTCCATTGTGGCACACAGAAAGGAGCTGTCCTCCTCTTAGGTCTATATTAAGGACGTTGTGTAGTGCATCTTCTGAGAGATCATCTGGACAGGCATCAGGCAGCGTCAGCAATGACCAGCGGTCGAGATTTCAGTTGCTGTTCAAACACTGCCCCCTACAGGCACGCATGTACAATCACATGCTTCCAGGTTTTGGGAGGGGTGGTAGGGAGTGATTGAAAAAAGCTGTTTGCATAATATACTGATTTTTTTTTACTGGATTTTGAAAGTAATCCATGCTGACCAGAGGTGATACATAGCAAAAATACAAATGCAAATCAGTATTATTTTGAAGGTTGAGGTGTTGATCTAAATGTGTAATGTGCATGTTTTCTATGCTATTGTAAGGTGTTTTTTTTGTGTTTTTGTGCATGTGAGAATGCCTTGTGTCAATCTGTGGCATTATTATTAGTAAACTTGGTAATGCAGACATACATTTGTCTCAGTCAACACTGCTTGTCATTTGTATGTCTGCGCTTTCACCAGCTCCAACGCCATTGAAAGGACATTTGCTGTCCAAGTACGGCTGTTAAAATGAATGTCTGGCTTCTGTACCTGCTAGTTATCACATCTTCCTGTCTAACCACATGGCTCAACATTTAAGCGGCATCAGAAAATGTTCCTCAAGCTGCTTTTTGTCTCATTCTCCTTTGTGCAACCCCTTTTTCTTTAGGTGTGAGTGTGTGTGTGTGTGTATGTGTGTGTGTGTGTGTGTGTGTGTGTGTGTGTGTGCGTATATTCATCCTGGAAGAACAAAAGCATCAGTGCATATCTTTTCTGTTTTTCTCCTGCCATAAGTTGAAAATTAAACAAATGAAGCTGTCCGGAGAACAAGGGTCCTGCCTCTGGCCACTTTGGGCCCGTTGTAGGGCTGCTGCTGGCCCTGTTTCTGCCCAGTGCAGCATACTGCCTGTCATGCCTTGTACAAATTTCCTGGGCTGCTGAGTGTTAACTGTCCATTGGAAGCCACTTCGCTCATCTCGTCCTCCAGTAGGCCCGAGACGTCAGCGTTAGGGATGCTGTCATGGTAGCTGCTGAAGCTGATGTTGTCCTCCTTCAGCTCGATGGTCCAGAAGGGGGCATTGAGCTTGCGGTTCTGGTACTCTCTGTAAGTGTACACTCCACCTGCTACACCCATGAGGGCCACCAGCACCACAATGATGACAGCAAGCACAATGACGTTGAATTGGGCCCAGGAAACCTCAGCAGCAGTGGCGGATGTGCCGTTGGCTGTGGGGCTTGCCAAGCTGGAGATGAGTGCGGTGGAGAAAGTGGGGAGCTGTACGGTGCCATTGGGACTGGGGGTCATCGTAGATGTCCAGGGAAGAGTGGGTAATACTGAGAGAAAGAGAGAGAGAGATAGAGAATATGAATTAGTATTCTAGTATTAGATTACAAACAGTAAAATCTAAATGTGTCTGGAATACTGGTCTATAAATTTCCAGTTTTTCCAGGACGTGTGGGAACCCTGATGTATCAACTTATGTGATGTATCTGTTATACATGTATAAAACTACTCTACAATTATGTAATTTCCAGTCAAAATGACACCATCAAGTACAATAGGAGATTAGATGTAAGATACCTGACCTGCATAAAGAAGGGGAACGTCAAATCAAATCAAACGGAGTTTCCACAAGTTCAACCAATTAAATTATTATTATTAAATAGGACTCCTTGTAAACCACCAAAATGGTCACCATCAGATAAACAGTGCTGAAAGCTTTCATCTTTGAGATATAGGAGAAAATCAATATCCACTCTTGCTTCAGATCCGAAAAACATCTGCAGGTGTTTCTGTTCATCTTTACACTGTAAGAACAAAACTCAACACCATGAGTCTGAAAGGATGCGTTTAAAGAAACCATGATGGAGAAAAGGAAATAGATTAAAAAAAAGTAGCTGCTGGCCTTAACACCACTTAATGTGTTCGGGATTACTTGAATTGTGAAAAACAGAAATGCAACCAACTTCTAAGCCTGAACTTGGGAGGTGAAGAAAAATATCCTGCAGATTTCTTTGGAAAACTGAAAGCAGGTCTCCCAAAAAGATGAAAGCTGTAATAAAGGCAAAGTGTGGACATACTGAATGCTGAAAATGTTGAAATTATATTTAGATGTTGAGGCCTTAGTGTAATTATCTTTTAAATATAGTGCTGTGAAAAAGTATTTGCCCCTCACCTGCTTTCTGCTATTTTTGCTAATTTATCACGTTTCAGTGTTTCAGATCATCCAACTAACTTTAATATAAGATACAGACAACATAAGTAGACACAAAATGCAGCTTTTAAATAGACATTCATCTAGATTTTTTTTTTTTTTTTTGGCAAATGCTGGACGAGCCTTTGTGTTCTTTTTGGTCAGCAGTTTGCCCCTTGCAAACAATACTCTTCAATGGATGCCATTTTTGCCCAGTGTCTTTCTTATTGTGGATTCCTGCACATTGACCTTAACTGGGGCAAATGAGGCCTGTAGATGTTTAGATGTTTGTGTGAGTTCTTTTGTGACCTCCTGAATGAGTTGTCAATGCGCTCTTGGTGAAATTTTGGTAGGCCGGTCACTCCTGGGAAGGTTCACCACTGCTCCAATTTTTCTCCATTTGTGGAAAACAAATTTACTGGAGTCCCAGAGCCTTAGCAATGGCTTTGTAACCCTTTCCAGACTGGTAGCTTTCAATGACTGTTTCGCATCTCTGTTTATATTTCTGTAGATGGCATCATGTGCTGCTTTTTAAGACCTTCTAGCCTACTTCTCATTGGCAGACTGCTTCTCAATCTATTTACGTGATGTTTAGATTCAAAAGGTCTGGCAGTAATCATGCCTGGGTGTGGCTGGTGAATTTGAATCCAATAGTCAATTGAATTTGGTTAAGTGGTTGATTTAGTATAGGGGTGTCCAGTCTTATCCGTAGAGGGCCGGTGTGGCTACACATTTTCATTCCAAACAAGTTGGAGCACACCTGACTCCACTTGTTTAATCAGCTGATCTCAGTCTTCAAAAATTCAATCAGGTGATCTCCTCCTATGTTGGAGTGAAAACCAGCAACCACTCCGGCCCTTTGCAGGTAAGAATGGACGCCCCTGGACCAAATCAACCAAATATGCAAAAAAAACACGAAATTGGAAAGGAGGCAAATACGTTTTCACAGCATCTTATTTGTTTTCTGCTTTTTGCCATTACAATCATGGACCTTAGCAAGCAATGACAAACATAAAACTATAAGAGAGAGAGAGCGAGAGAGAGTGCATGTGCTGGATGAATTTAGTATAATGTAAGAAGCAGATGCACCAGACACAGCTGCATGGCTGAACGTTCATCTGTTCACCAGAACACACTGCTCCAAGGATCTGAATCCACCACAGTTTTTCACTGTTTCAAACAAACTGGCTTGTTTTTTATGAAACAGTTTTCTAAGCTTCTGTATTATGTTCTCTATTTTAAAGGATAAATTCTTACACAGTGTACTCTGCTCCCTCTTATTCTAATACTCTCCATCTCCATTCCTCTCTCTTATTTGTCTTGTACTACTCACTCATAGCTTGGCAGTCCATGTTTGCCTGCCTATAGGAATTTAGCGACTGGCTTCTTTACAGTATCCCCTATTGTGCTGTTAGAATGAATAGCTTTGAGTGGACAGCACTTCAAAACTGCCGGTTTTAAGAGAGATTCACTTTCTGCCCTACCAAGATTTTAAAGCAGCAGTAGTCATCAGGGTCAGCTCAGTCCACTAGGGGCCTTCATTCTGAACATGAAACAGCTGCCTGAAAGTAATCTGCATAAGTCTGTGTAAATGAACGTAAATCTGTATCTGTGATTTACTGCTCATGATTCCATACACTGTTATACACTTGGCTCACTCCTATGGGCAACCAGTACTGCTTCCCTGCTTTCCTTTTTGGAGAATCAGTCAGCACACTGGCCCTTTTGTTAACACAAAACAGCTTCATTGGTGTTTATTCCAAGTGATTACATTTTAAATTGGAGGGATATAAAAAGCCTCGATGAAACATGATGCAGCGCTCTGAAGGTGGCGATTTTGACTTCAGAATGTTAAAAGCGAGCTCCTCTTGTCACATTTGTGTGGTCAGTAGGGCTGCATGATGTGGTCATAAAATGTGAGATTTGATAAAGCTGTTGGATATCAGGTCTACAAAAACAAATACACATTTAATTTCTTAAAAAGCTCCGAATGATGATGCAGGTTTGTTGTGACAGCAGCCATTACTGCTCACACATTCACTCTGGAAGTGAGAATAATCATCACATTTAAAGCATTTTTACAGGCTAGATGTTCAGGATAGAGTAGACCTTGATCTGTGCATTCTGTAACTGGGCTTAATAGTTTTGCCGTAATAGTTCAAGCTTAATTGGCTCTGACTCTACAATGCTGCCAATCTAATACATCCTCTGGTGCTGCATGTGGCGTAATTTGATCCGTTCTGTTGTCGCAGTCCTTAATGATGTGTTTATCATGAAAACTTATATTGCGATAAAAATAAAAATATCATTCATCCTGTAGCCATAATAGTCAGTGTGTTTTTTTAAATAATTCCATAAAAATTTAAATGTGATGAAATGTGAGATTTTGTGATCCACTGAATATGAATTGTTATGAGATTGTTGTGAGATCAGTTAGCCAAAATGAAACATTTCAGCACCGGCTTCCGGACAGCTACCATTCCTGAACACTCCCCCTGCCTGCCTTACCTAAGGGCGTGCAGTTTCTAAACAAGGCGTCCCCGGTGAAGCCCTCCGCGCAGCGCTCACAGTGAGGTCCTGCTGTGTTGTGGCTGCACCTCAGACAGTGGCCCGTGTCCGGGTGGCAGATGCGGGGCACGCTGCTTGGCTCGGCATTTCCGCTGCAGTTGCACGGGACGCAGATGCTGTCAGCGTTGTAGAAACCATCGCGGCACTGCTCACAGTTGGTACCCTGGTACTCTGGCTTGCACTGGTCACACACTGGCTGGCCCTTATGGTCTGCCAAAGCACAGACAAAAGAGGGAGGATTACAAACATTCATATTGTACTGTGGCTAATGAAATGCTTGTAAAGCATGCTTTGTTGAACTTGAATTTCTGGCTGGCTAGTTAATGCAGTCCTGATTTACTACTGAGCCACTAGATGGCAGGACCATAATAATATATCATAATAATATGGCTACTCGCAATGCAGAGTGCAAGTACACTACTTCCATTATCATTATTCCAAACAGCTTAATTTAACATCAGATTTTCTCTTTTACATTTACTTTACTAGCTGTGTTAATGTATTCTGAGCATCTTCCCCACCAGGAGAGTTGACCTCATGGAGTAAAACACCCCCACAATACCAAACCACAATTTTGCATTTCAACACTATTGAAATGAAGCTATATCAGTCAGCTAAAGTGTTTGCTGATATTTGAAGGGCAGGTTCCCCGAGCATGGATTAATCATAGACTTGATGAATTACCACTGGAAATGCTTTTTAGTCTATACTTGGGCTTAATTTGGGTCTGGGAAACTGGACCCTCATCTTATTAAGTTATTCCATCAAAAAATGAAGTCCTAAAATAGAAAAATAGTCCTAAAATAAAAAGTGAACAACACTTCAATTTATGGGAATAAATTAATTATAATTTTCCTAGCTTATGTTAATATGTCTGCATTACAATTAGCTAGCTACATTATAGGCCTATATGTAGTTTTGAACCAGTATTTTGGTTGAATGTGCCTTTTCTTCAAAACATATCTTAACAGAAAATGGTCTATGGACAGAGTGTACACACATAATCTAGTTATGTGTCTAGTTTGTCTACACCTACCTTGTATTTACACATAGTAATGCACTTTGTAGGTTCACAATTACTTTAACTATCTAACTATTACTTCTGTAACTATTTAAATTAGCTACGCTAATACGCATCACTAAAATCTCTACTGCTGGCAGCACAGAACGGCCAAGTGTCCATATTAAAATGTTTCGCTTCACTTTGTGACAGGTTAGCTCTACATAAAGAAATGGATGATTCAGTGGTGAGATGGAGAGAGCATAAAGGCAGGATTTCTGAATTACATATTAATTCTTGTATTTGCAGAACATTGTGCGGAGGGGAAGCAGTGTTTAATAAGTAATTCATGAGGTGTGGAATCTGGCTGAGGGATGATGATGATGTGGTATGGGTCCTGAAAAGCGGCAACAACTGATTTAGGAGAAAACTGGAATAACAAAACAAGACTAAGCAAGACTAGTTGTGCTGGACTGCCACTGGCTGTAAGGCATTTGTCATACAAGTGTTAAAGATACAGGATTAAAACTCTTTTGTACTGAGTGAAAAATTAACACTGTAGTCCAGCTTCCTGCGGTGTCTTGTGAAACCCCAAATTTTACCAGCCACTCTATTACTAAAACACTTTGCACAATGCACAATCAATCAATTTTAAATTTTCAATCATACTACTACTGTTAATGATAAAATAATAATAGATAAAAAGTTCAGTCATTTTAAAAGGGGCTCTATACTAAGTAATTGCTACATGCAGGCATCGTATGCAGGCAGAGGAGAGCAGATACAGTTGCCTTCATGATAATTCATTTCTCGATTCTGATATGGTGTGTCTACTACTGTGTGAACCCATGAAGGCAGATTTGGCTAGCTATTTAGCGAGGTTTAAATGATAACAACAGATGGTTATTAGCATAATAGCATCTATAATCTATAAGATATCAAGATGATTTCTACTCACACAAATGTCTTCAGGTATTTAGAATCATGCAGAGTCAAAAAAAGTACATTTTCTCTTGAGAGTGTAAAAACATGAGCGAAAACCACGTTCTTCAGCTGTTGGCATATTTGCTAATAGAACTTGCATTATGGTTTCTGAGCTAGGTAACCTTAACTCCTTACAAAGTGATGATTCTAAAAATAGCAATTAACCCATCAAAATAGCATTCCGGTTTACACTGTGCTGCACCTAGTGGTTGTCCTAGCGCTTGGTTACCCTCACCTGGCCAAAAAAGGCTGCTTATACATGAAATTGAAGGAAAAATTCCAAATGAAGTCACCTTATCGGTCATTCAGACATTCACTCAGTCAGTCAGACTTATCCATCGAAACAGATGCTGGATCCAAACTGGAATGTGTCCGATCCAGATTCAGCTTGATTGCGCATAAAGAAAGTCCAGAGGGTGAGGATGTAATCTAGTCATACAAGAAAACACTAAGGTGCTTTTGTGTCTCTCTATGAAGAACTGGGTTTACAGGTAAACTACACTAATTGACCCTCAATTTTATATTTAACAGTGGATGGATTTCCTGCTGTGTAAGGCTTGTCATAAGAGAAAGCTTCATTAAATCAATAACCTAGTTATTTATGTAGTAATTGCCATGACCCAGTGCCAATTTCTGGGTCAATTTATATCCTTTTCCATCAAGCAGGACCAAGAAAAAGACCAATTTTATAAGCTTCTGAAGGTTTTTCCATCTGTCCCTGAAGTGCAGTAACGGAGGATTTTCTGCACCAATCGGAAGAGTGACTGATAACCGTGGAAGTTGTAACAGGATTGTGGCTCAATCAATTGTGGCCCACTTTACCCACAGCGCGCTTCAGTCAGATAAAACACTGGCGCTGATTGTGCCAAACACAATGTTAACCTGAATACAGCAGCAAGCTGTGGTAGACATGTTAAAACAACATAAACACAGATCCTGCAAAGGACAGAGCATTTTAGGAAAGACAGAGATTGAAAGAGACATAAAAAGACGTTAATTAGCATGGAGGAAAACAACTAATCTTACAACCTGTACCACTGCAGCAAGATGAAATAGAAGACATTGGCGAGGAAAAAAAGAAAAAAAAGAGAAAAACAGAAAATGACACTCGGATGTTACATTCTCACTCGACTATAATCAATAAAGTGCAATTAAACAGTCTTGTCATGCTGCTGTTGCACATATTGTCTTATCTGAAATGACCATTTAGGTGCTGAAATGTACACTCAGTTGTCAGTTTATCAGGTAAACCTGCCCTGTACCTACGCTTGGCTGTTTTATCAGCTACTCCACACCTAGTCTTGCAGGGCCAGATGTGATCTCTTAACAAGAATAAATGTCTGGGGACAACTTTTTAAAAACATTTGGTGCTGGATTGGGTTGGATTGCTAACAATGACATCTCCCTTCTAAAACCCGCCCCAAATTCCTCTAGCTTGTGCTTTTCTTCCGGCAACCCAAGCAAAACAAGCTAGCTAACAAAACAAGCTAGCTAGTGTTGCACTATTGTTTACTAACATTATAACATCTCAAACTAAGTATAGTCTGGTTTAACGGAACTGTTTTCCTCTTTTTACCGCACATAATGTGTTCTCAGCAAAAATTACGCATCTACTTGCTTTAGTGGAGTACACACGTGGTTTAACAAGAGGCTTGTTGTCAATTGGACCCTGTTGACGAATGCAATATCAACCCCCCACCACTGTGAGATATCATTTAAACAGTGGATCATTCCCAGCACGGCAGTAAGACTGACAGTGGTTGTGTGTGTTGTGTTAGTAAATGTACTAGCGCCGTGGTGTTGCTGTGGCCTTTACACACCCTAAAGTATCCAGCCAATATCCAACCCACTACCCCGAACATTGATGAAGAGTTAAGGCAACCTAATACAAACCGTGGAAAAAGATGAGCTATACACTCCAACCGTACAATTAGAAGGTAGATGTGTCTAATAAAGTGCTGCATTTACAGTGTCAAAACAGTCATACCAGCGCAACACACTTTAACGTGCCACTACCATGTTAGTATTACTGGTACACTGAGAATGGTCCATAACTCAATTATCTGGTCAGTGTGGTCTTATGGTGCACAGTAATATACAGGGTAGAAGGGGGCTGATAAACTGTGCAGCAACAGGCTACAGCCTGTAATTGTACCTTAACCTATATCCTAAGTGTTTCTGATATAATGACCAATGAATGTAGGTACAGGGAAGGTCTTTCTAATAAACTCAGTGAACTTGAAGAGAGTCCAACTACTCAAAGTTATTGAGTCAGTGCAACACACGATCAATACACTCCAGCATACAGTGTCTGACAGAATCTAAATACTTCAAATGGAGGGGAGCTTGCTGAGGGACCACCATGCTGAGGGAACCAATTCTCTTCATCCTTATTTCTCAGGTAAGTATTAGGCTAATGAGCACCATTAGACACACAGGCACTGCGCAGCCCATTTTAATAAGCCTCGCTGCAGAAAGCCTGAAGCTACTAAATTTTGTCATGTTAATACGCACACTTTACATAACATATGATATTTCTGCCATATCACCCACTCCTCACCACATGTTCACACTAGGGATGCATCAGTACCATTTTATATAGACCTTGAATATTACCTTGAATTGAGTAGTGTTGCAGTGGAGAAGAGTGGGTTTTCTTTCACATCAGAAAAGCACTTCTGTACAGCTGTAAGTACATTTCATAGTTTTGATCCTTATCTGTCTCTTTCAACAATAGTCACTAGCACAGTGACAACAGGAATCACATCGGAGGCTAATCTGAGGAGCTCACTTCTCTAATTGTATGTCGTGTTGGAGTCTTTTGTGTGGCTGATTGAGTTGTAGTTGCATGTCCGCTAAAGCCAGAATACACTGAGCAATTTTAGAAATTTCAACCTGTACATTTAAAAAGACCATCATGTGCAGACAAATCCTATGATTTATATGCTCACACTGTTTGCTCGGCCTGACTGACATGCAAGGTGAAACGCAGCCCCTATGGACAGCTCTGTCTACGAACAATCATCAATAAAGCCGTTTCATAAAAAAAAAAAACGTGCTGCGCTTCCACTGAGCAGAAACACTGAGAAACTGTGATACAACAGCTTTGCTAACTCGTGCTACACTGTGCAGTGAAACTAAAACTAGGCGTTAATGTACTTGGGAAGGAAAACACAGTCTCTCTGTAGCCTATTTTACAAAGGCAAATTTTTAAAAAATTACCATA